CAATATTTACACTATCTCCTGAAAATAAGGCAAAATTGTTCTTATATGTAATTTTTGTCAGCGATTGACTCCCTCTTTCTGAGCAACTGCAGTGTATCATGGGAGTCCCATGGGTGTAGTGCATCATGGGAGATGAAGTCCGACTAGGGAGCCTGGCGTATAGGGCAAAATGGGGGTCTGAAGCACCTGACTACAACTCCCATGAAGCATTGCGGTGACATTTCGGACATTAACTTTTAGGTTTCTGTATGTTTGGTTTTTTAGAAAAAAGTCAAAATTTTCCACTGAAGTGGACACTTTTTATGAAAAAAAATCATTTTGTTGAAGACCCAATTTTTCATCGAGAAGTGGTTTGGATGGAAAATGTCTGACCAGCCCTAGTTTTAATGTAGTGCTCTCCATGTGCTAGGCACTTTACAGAATCTATAGTATTGCAGGGCCCCTGTTCCCAGGGAGCTCACAAGTATAACAATATCGCACCACACAGACAAAAGATATGGGTGGGAAGACAACTGAGCACACGGTATTTTTGCCCTTTCCATTTTTTATGATTTTCTCCCAACCTTCTTAATGGCCCACTCAGCCCTTCCATGCTATGACCCTGTCACGCTGTTGGGAGTGGCTCACGACTGTGAGTGCCAACCTGTCAAGAAGCAGGGCAGACACCCCAAACCAGTTGTGTGTTCTACAATTAGATTTCACCAACCCAGTAACAAGTGTGACCTCCTAAAGTACTATTACAGTCTTACCTACCCCCTTGGGCGATCCAGTCTATCTTGCCACTAAGGCAAGTTGGACTTAGTGATAGTTGGGTGCATAAGTGCCAACTTTTCCTGGTGCCTCCAGCCTCGCCCCGGCCTCGCCCCCACCCTGACTCCATCCCTGCCCCGCCCCCCATTCCAACCCCTTCTCCAAAGGCCCTGCCCCAACTCTGCCCCCTCCCTTCCCCTATTGGACTCCTTCCACAAATCCCCGCCCCGGCACCCCCTCTTCCTGGAACGTGCTGCGTTCCCCCTCCTCCCCCCTCCCTCCCAGCACTTGCTGCAGTGCGGCAAGCACTGGGAGCTCGGGGGAGAAGCAGGGACATGGCACACTCAGGGGAGGAGGCCAAGGCAGAGCGGAGGTGAGCTGGGGCAGGGGGGCGGGGTGGGGAGCTGCCAGCGGGTGCAGAGTACCCACCAATTTTTCCCTGTGGGTGCTCCAGCCCTGGAGCACTCAAGGAGTTGGCACCTATGGTTGGCTGGTATACACCAAAGCTCACAAAATATTCAGTCACTTACCCCAGGTCAATTTATACCTCCCATCTCATACCAATGACAACGCTTTTAGCCAATCCTATCGTAATCTATCTAAGGACTTACTAACTAAGAAAAGAAAGGAGAGAGTTATAACATGGTTAAAGCAAGCAAACGTGTGTACGCTGATAAGTTACAGTCTGTGGTCCCAAAAGGTGAGGCCTCATCTGGAGTACTGTGTCTAGTTTTGGGCCCCACACTACAAGAAGGATGTGGAAAAATTGGAAAGAGTCCAGCGGAGGGCAACAAAAATGATTAGGGGACTGGAACACATGACTTATGAGGAGAGGCTGAGGGAACTGGGATTGTTTAGTCTTCAGAAGAGAAGAATGAGGGGGGATTTGATAGCTGCTTTCAACTACCCGAAAGGGGGTTCCAAAGAGGATGGCTCTAGACTGTTCTCAGTGGTAGCAGATGACAGAACAAGGAGTAATGGTCTCAAGTTGCAGTGGGGGAGATTTAGGTTGGATATTAGGAAAAACTTTTTCACTAGGAGGATGGTGAAACACTGGAATGTGTTACCTAGGGGAGGTGGTGGAATTTCCTTCCCTAGAAGTTTTTAAGGTCAGGCTTGACAAAGCCCTGGCTGGGATGATTTAGTCGGGGATCGGTCCTTCTTTGAGCAGGAGGTTGGACTAGATGACCTCCTGAGGTCCCTTCCAACCCTGATATTCTATGATTCTATGACAGAGCTGCAGTAATCTGTCAGCACTGAATGTCTTTTAGGGCTAACCCAGTTTGAGCCTGGGGATCTCTGCTTCTGGTTTGTAGCTCCAGCCCTGTGAGACTCCAAGAAGCAAAAGAGATTAAAAATTTTCTTGGTCAGCTATTTTTATTTCCCTTCTTCCAGAATTCAAGCTGATGGGATGAGCCCTTTTTTACATAGCCTCTTCTTGGATATAAGGGGGCAATTAAGAAAGTCTTTGTATTGTGATGTCCCATAATGGCCCATTTAGTTTTGATCAGCCTTCTTGATGGGCAGAAGATGATCCCTCGTGCAGGGTTCACAGTTTCAGAGCAAACATTTTTTACAGTGGCAAAGCAAAAACTTAAATATTACTGTATCGCATGTGATAAAGAAAGTATAGGAGACTACCACATGCAGCAGCTTACAAGCATTTCAGAAAGTCTAAACACTAAACATATGGCTATAAATCCAACAGTACCCATCTCCACCACACGAAGGGCTAGTCTACACTGGCAATGTTAAAGCGCTACCACGGCTTGTGTAGTCGCAGCATAGCGACCACCTCCATGGGGGGGCGTAGCTACCAGTGCTGGGAGTGCGGCTCTCAGCGCTGTGGAACTGTCTACACTGGTACTTTACAGCGCTGAAACTTGCTGCGCTCAGGGGGTGTCTTTCCACACCCGAGTGAGAAACTTGCAGCGCTGTAAAGTGCCCGTGCAGACAAGCCCTGACCCACAGGGGAAACAGACTGGTCTCCAGCAATGACTTTGTCAGTGCTCAGCTGAGGCCTAAAGCTTTGGCAAGAGCTGGCACCTGGCCTGCCAGCATCACAGGCCCTCCCATCCAGTGGTGGATTATCCAATGGGTCCATGGGGCCCGTGCCCAGGGGCCCCGTGAAAATGGGCGCACCAGTGGAAATCTGCCATGGGGCGGTGGAAGCCCGGAGCCCTGGTAGAAGCCACGAGGTGGGCAGGGGAATCCCCAGCACCCAGACCCTGGCTGCGGCCCCAGGCCCTGGCGGGGGGACAGAGCTTCTCCAGTCTTGGGACCGCAGTGCAGGGGGCAGAAAGTTGTCAATGGAGGGCGGGGCTGCGAGGGGAGCAGAATGAGGAGCAACTCTGGGCGAAATGGGGGTGGGGCCACGAGGGAAGGGAGTAGAGTGGGGGCAGGGCTATGGGGGAAGGGGCAGAATGGGATGGGGCCATGGGTGGAACAGGGCCAGGGCCATGGGGGAAGGGGCAGAAAGGAGTGGGGCTGTGGGTGGGGTCACCGGTGGAAGGGGAGGAATGGGGGTGGGACCACAGGCGGAAGCGGTGGGGCAGGGCGACGGTTCCAGTGCCAGGGCGTGCCCACTTGCTCTGGCCCAGGGCCCCAGGAGACCTTAATCCACCTCCGCTCCTAAAGCCCAGCAGGATCTTAACGGCTCTCCCAGTAACCGGCTCCTGCCCTTCACCTCCACACAATGCCCTGCTCCACCAAAAATTAATAGTGAAGATCTGAGACCTGGAGCAGGCTCCTGAGGCTATGACTGTACCCCTTAGTCAGCTGCCGCCGCTCCAGATTCTACCACTGCTAGTGTCATCTTCCATAAACTTCCCTGTTTACATGCCAGACTTCCATGAATAGCTCAGACAGAAGTTATTGGCTTGCTGAAATAATTACTGGGCGGGGTTCTCTGGCCTGTGTCCAGCAGGAGGTCAGACTAGAGGGTCATAATGGTCCCGTCTGGCCTTAAAAATCTATGACTAGTTTTCTTCCAATATTTGACCAGCTCTGTGAATGATTTGCATGGGCTTTCCTTGCCTGGCACACACTGAGTAGCCTCCAGCACAGTAAGGCGCTATGCATCTGCATCTGAGGTTGTAGGAAAACTGACATGCTATTATATTGTCCTTCATGGGAAATAGATGCCCAGAAGGCTAACAAGGTGCACAGATGTCACTGACAATGGAATCTGATGCGCACAAGAAAGATGGAAAGAACCCCAGAGATCACTCAAGACAAAGTGCCACCCTAGGCAAAACTTCAGTGTGCCGCCCCCCCCTCTTCATAGGCAATGGAGATAGGGGGTACCTAAGGCCACTGCCCCCCCCCACCATTTTTGAGAACCTGAAGAAGGTGGGGGGGACAGGTGCTGCCCTTGGCCCCTAAACCTTCCCTGCTGCCATTACAGAGGGGCATCTGGGCCAAATCTGAGACAGTGTTGTGGTCGGGAGCACGCTGCTCAAATGCCGCTCACAATGCCGCTCAAAAAATCATTTCTTCCAGAAATCTGCCACCCTGGGCAACTGCTTAGTTTGTCTAAAGCCAGAGTGGCCCATGAAGTTTCCCAGCTTGACTCTCAGATCCCAGGTTGAGTTTGCAAGGCTGGCAGCTAGAAAAAACAACAACTTTTAATGTGTTAAACAGCACATTTGAACTGGTGTCATTGAGACATAATAGATGTAGAAACCCCCTCAATACTTTTTATATAAAGACATTTTTCACGGTAGAAGCAGTTTGACATTTGAACTACTCAATATCAGCTAAATTATTCTAATATAGCCCTGATTAAGCAACAGTCATTATCATTGATTATCATTAGCACGAGCCAATATTCTCATTTGAAAAGAGACCAAGTATGGAAAATTTCATCTCCGGAGATCTCAAAAATTATGAACATCTGAAAACATGAAGCTATTGTGGAAACTTGATTTTTACATGACCTATAGATGACACCATTAGCAGCCATGCTAATAATCAGTTGAAGCTAAAGTTATACACTGATCATTCAGATATCCACCAACATCTAGCACTCTAGCTTAAGGTTTTATCCTTCTGCCCATCACCTAGGATCTGAGCACCATCCAGTGAAATGTATTAGCAATAGCATAGTCCATAGTGAGATTCATGGAGCTGCTGACTTGATTTTGGACATAAAAGCTCTGCTTGGGGTAGCCTTATGTTTTTGTTTGTTTGGCTTGTGTGTGTGTTGTAAGGAGGGAATAATGAATCTTCCTTCTCTCTTTGTTTTTCAGACATTCATCGTCCTAAACAAAGGAAAAGCAATCTTCCGGTTCAGCGCAACCCCGGCCCTATACATGCTAGGACCCTTCAATCCCCTCAGGAGAGGTGCCATCAAAGTGCTTATACATTCATATCCTTTCATAAATTAAACAGTAGTAAGTCATCAGGCCCAGATGGGATTCACCCAAGAGTTCTGAAGGAACTCGGATATGAAATTGCAGAACTACTAACTGTGGTATGTAACCTATCACTTAAATCAGCTCCGGTACCAGATGACTGTAGAGTAGCTAATGTTACACCATTTTTTTAAAAAGGTTCCATCCAGGATCGCCTCGATCCTGGCAATTACAGGCCAGTGAGCCTAGACTTCAGTACCAGGCAAACTGGTTGAACCTATAGTAAAGAACAAAATTGTCAGACACATAGATGAACATAATTTGTTGGGGAAAAGTCAACATGGTTTTTGTAAAGGGAAATCATGCCTCACCAATCTACTAGAATTCTTTGAGAGGGTCAACAATCATGTGGGAAAGGAGGATCCAGTGGATATAGTGTACTTAGATTTTCAGAAAGGTCCCTCACCAAAGGCTCTTAAGCAAAGTAAGCTGTCATGGGATAAGTGGGAAGGTCCTCTCTTGGATTGGTAACTGGTTAAAAGATAGGAAACAAATACATGGTCAGTTTTCAGAATGGAGAGAGGTAAATAGTGGTGTCCCGCAGGTTCTGTACTGGGACTAGTCCTATTCAGTGTATTCATAAATGATCTGGAAAAAGGGTAAACAGTGAGGTGGCAAAATTTGCTGATGATACAAAACTACTCAACTATAGAACAGCTTCCATATGAAAATAGATTAAAAGGGCTGGGACTTTTCAGCTAGGAAAAGAGACGACTAAGGGGGGGGGGATATGATAGAGGTCTATAAAATCATGACTGGTAGGGAGAAAGTAAATAAGGAAGTGTTATTTACTCCTCATAACACAAGAACTAGGGGTCACCAAATGAAATTAATAGGCAGCAGGTTTAACACAAACAAAAGGAAGTATTTCTTCACATAAGACACAGTCAGCCTGTGGAACTCCTTGCCAGAGGATGTTATGAAGGCCAAGACTATAACAGGGTTCCAAAAAGAACTAGATAAGTTCCTGGACGATAGGTCCATCAATGGCTATAAGCCAGGATGGGCAGGGATGGTGTCCTTAACCTGTTTGCCAGAAGCTGGGAATGGGCAACAGGGGATGGATCACTTGATGATTAGGGGGCTGGAGCACATGACTTATGAGGAGAGGCTGAGGGAACTGGGGTTATTTAGTTTGCAGAAGAGAAGAGAAAGGGGGGATTTGATAGCAGCCTTCAACTACCTGAAGGGGGGGTTCCAAAAAGGATGGAATTAGGCTGTTCTCAGTGGTGGCAGATGACAGAACAAGTTGCAGTGGGGGAGGTCTAGGTTGGATATTAAGAAACACTATTTCACTCGGAGGGTGGTGAAGCACTGGAATGGGTTACCTAGGGAGGTGGTGGAATCTCCATCCTTAGAGGTTTGTAAGGCCCGGCTTGACAAAGGCCTGGGTGGGATGATTTAGTTGCTGCTGGTCCTGCTTTGAGCAGGGGGTTGGACTAGATGACCTCCTCAGGTCTCTTCCAACCCCAATCATCGCAGAGTGTGGGGGAGTCAGGGCCCTCCACCCCCCACTTCCTGCGATTCACTGTGACTCTCAGCCAGCCAGTAAAACAAGAAGGTTTATTAGATGACAGGAACACAGTCCAAAACAGAGCTTGTAGGTACGGAAAACAGGTCCCTCAGTCACGTCCATCTTGGCGGGTAGGGAACCCAGACCCCAGTTCTGGGCCTTCCTCCGTTTCCCCAGCCAGCTCTAAACTGAAACCCTCTCCAGCCCCTCCTCTGGCCTTTGTCTCTTTCCCAGGCCAGGAGGCCACCTGATCTCTTTGTTCTCCAACACCTTCGGTTGGCACCTTTGCAGGGGAGGGGCCCAGGCCATCCATTGCCAGGAGACAGCGTGTCAGCCATTCTCTGTGCATACAGCATCACACTGGCCCTCTAGGGTTCTGCAACAAGCACACACCATTATCCCATCATCTAGATACTTAAGAAATGTATAGGGGAAACTGAGGTACCCACACAGTATTCAGAGAAAACATTAAGAACATCTCCACTTCGTCACATCTCTCCCCCCTTCAAGACTGAACTGAGTGGGGTCACTTTAGCCGGTGACCTGGGGAAGTTTGAACCCACCAACATTCCCATGGATGCCCCAGCATCTTTCCCATTCCTTGGTGGGAGTTACACCAGGCCCTTCCAGTTTCACGCCCTCCCTTAGGTTAGGTGTGCTTGATGGCCCTCGCAGGCCACATGTGGAAAGGTTTATGTGGCCCGGGCCCTTTTGCCACCCCAAAACCCCTGGGGTTCAAACTGAGATCGGGTCTTCTCCCAGCGCTCCAGTCTGGAGGGCTGCGATTCGGGCTCTCTTGGTTAAGAGCCCTCTTCCTGACCTTGGCCATCCTCTGACCAGGTGTCTCTGTCACCAGCAGCTCGGCATCAGCCCCTTTCACTGGATGCAGCCACATCGGGGGAGAGGGGTCAGTGTACACAGCAAAGCGCCACAAAATAGATACGGCTGCAGCTTTTCAAGGGCCTGCCCCATGGCCAGGCATTTCTTCTCGATGGCCACATAGTTCTGCTCCCAGGACTGCAGCTTCTTGCTCAGGTACCTGATGGGTGTCTCCCCACTTACAAACAGCTTGCATCAGCACTGTGCTCAGCCCTGCATCTGAGGCATCGGTGAACGCTGCAAAGGGCTTGGCAAAGTCTGGCTTTACCAGATTTACTGGGCCCTGGATTGGAGCCTCCTTCAGTGCCCAGAGAGGCCTCTCGCACTGCTCAGTCCAGACCACCTCATCTGATTTACCCTTCTTACATAGCTCAGTGCTGGGGGCAGCTAGCAAGCCAAAGTGGGGTACAAACCTCCGGTAGTACCCCGCCATCCCAACAAAGGCCTGGACCTGTTTCTTGGTCTGGGGAACAGGCCAACCTCTGATCGTCTCCACCTTGGCCAGCTCCAGGCTTGGGCAGCCACTCCAAACCTTGTGGCCCAGGTACGACACCTCTGCCATCCCCACCTTGCACTTTCCAGCTTTTACCGTCAGTCCTGCCTCCTTGAGGCAGCCCAGCACCCTCTTCACCTGGGACACGTGTTCCTCCCAGGTCTGGCTAGAGACACAAATATCATCAGTGTATACTAGGGCCAAGTTCTCCATCCCCCTCAGTAACTGATCCACCCGGCGCTGGTAGGTGGCCAAAGCTCCCTTGAGGTCAAAAGACAGGACCAGGAACTCAAAGAGCCCCAAAGGGGTGGTGAAGGCAGATTTCAACCTGGATCTGGGTCCAAAGGCACCTGCCAGTCGCCTTTGGGGTCATCCATAGTAGAAAGGTAATGAGCCCCCTCCCCACCCCCACAGCTTGTCTAGAATCTCACCAAGCCTAGGCATGGGGTAGGCATTGGACATGGTGATGGCATTAAGTTTCCGATAGTCCCCACAGAATCGGATCGACCCATCTTTCTTGGGGACCAGCCCCACGAGTGAGCCCATGGGCTGTTGAACGGCTGGATCCCCTCTAAAGCCAGCATGTCCTTGACCTCTCTCTCCAAGTTCTGGGCTGTTTTCCCAGTGACTCTGAACAGGGGAAACCTGATGGGAGGATTGGCTCCTATCTCAGGGAAAAGGTCCACCAGGGGATCTTCCCACTTCTCCTCCCAATCGTCCCTTACCAGGTCCAGGGGGTCCCCTCACTCTCCTCCCATACAACAGCTCGAAAGGGAGGAAGACTATGGATTCCTGGGGCACTTCCCTGTACCGCAGGTGGGACAGGTACTTGTCCCAGTCCTGCGCAGGTCAAGGAAGGAAAGAGTGACTGAGAGCATCAAAGGCCACAGAGATACTGAGGGATGGGGAACAGCCAGGAAGAGGAGGCCCAGCCAGGAAGAGGAGCAGAGATGTTGTGGGGGGGTTGGGGGAAGACAAAAGCCAGACTGAAGGGGATCTAGGAGCAAGGCCGGATTTCTCATTGGGCACATGCCTAGGGACGCCGGCATTCTAGGGGTGCCTATAAATGCAATTTTTGCCGCTCCCAGGTCCTGGCAGGGGTTGGGGCCAGCTGAGGGGGAGACAGCCCCACACAGCCCTGCTGGAGCACTCCTAACTTAACCCAGTGGACACAGTCACCTCCCAGCGGGGCCAGTGAGTGTGGCCAGAGGGCAAGACACGGGAGAGTGGGTCTCTGAAGGGGCTTGTGGGGGGGATCTGGGCAGTGAGGGGGTGGGGGATGCTGGGTAGTGGGGAGTTTGTGCGGGAAGCTGGGCAGTGGGGAGTAGAGGAGGTTTGTGTGTTTCGGGGTGCTGGGCAGTGGAGGGTCTGTAGACAGAGGGGCGCTGGGCAGTGGGGTGCCTAAAAGTTAAAAGTGGCGGTTAGGAGGTCCGAGCCGCTGCGAGCACTGGGGGCCACCCCACAGCTCCCGGCCGCCACAAGAGTCCACCCCACAGTTCCTGGTCACTGCGGTCGGCGGTGGGGGCCTGGAACTGTGAGCCGCAGGCGGCAGGGGACACTGGAGAGCTGAGCCCCTGCAAGCAGTGCCGGGCAGCTGGAAGCCGGGGCCCCCGCAGCTGCCCAGCCAACGGGAGTGGTGTGGGGACCCTGCCTAGGGGCACGCAAGGTATAAATCTGGCCCTGCCTAGGAGGGAGTTCTCCAGCTGCCAGCAGGTGCAGCGTGTACTAGGAGCTGAGGGGTCACGGGCAGGAGGAGATAGGGCAGAGGCGGTCAGGTCAGTGAGGGCAGCAAGGTGTGCAAGGAGAATATGAACAGAGAAGTGTTCACCTGCTCTGGTCAGGAGAGTCAGAGATTTTTAAGGCCAGAAGGGACCACCGTGATCACACAGCCTGACCTCACAGGCTTGCCTGAACTCATTCCTGCTTCGAGTCAAATAGCTCTAGCTGAACCTGAGCATCTCTTTAAGGGGCCCATTAGTGCCTGTGGTGAGGGCTCATCTCAGCTGCCTGAAGGGCCCAGTAGGTGGGGGCAGGTTGCTAGGGAGAGAGGCGGGGGGCCAAAAGGAAGATCCTGTTTGCAAAGTGGCTAGAGGTTGGGGGTTGGGAAGGGGAGAGGAGGGCCAAGGGATGCCAGGAAGGGCTGGAGCTTGGGGCAGGCTGTGGATGTGGCTGGAGGTGGAGAAGCGACCATAGTGAAGAGGGACACTGGTGAAATAGTTTAAGCTTTCTTCATCTCTGCGTTGTTCTGAAACGCCAGGCATCTCGTCTGGGAGCCGCACTCCAGGGCTGGGATGGAGGGGAACGCTGCATGTGCTCTTACCGCTGCACCCGGCCTTGGAGAGGATTCGGAGGGAGAGGGGAGCCTGTGACATGCCCAGAGAGATTTTCCTTGACCTGGTTATAAATTATTCAGCATGTTTATCATGATCACCATTTTGACCAACTGTGTGTTCATGGCAATGAGCGACCCGCCACCGTGGGCCAAGAACGTGGAGTAAGTTCCTTTCCTCCCATCGCAGCTTGGCCTCCTGATGGCACTGGAGAGGGCGGCCCCTTTCGCTGCATGGCTGCTCTCTACAGAAATCTGTCCCGCTTATCGGAGAGGGGCCTGAGGGAAAGGGGTGAAGGGGCCTTTGGAAATAGGCATGTGTAGTTTGGAGACCCCTTGACTGAGCTATCGCCATGTTTGTGATCTCAGAACCCAAGTTTGTGTCCAGCTCTAGACTTTGCAACCATGGGCACATTTCTGAACAGCCTCCCACCACTACTCACTGCGGCTCAGCTGCAGGACAGACAGGGCTCCGAGCAGGCAGCAGGTTTTTGAGGACTCAGTACCCAAAATTTGGGGCCAGATTACCAGGGCTCAGTGCCCACTATCAGTGCCAGATTTTCCAAAGAGCCTCCCATTTAGGCGCCTAAACAGGGGCTGAAGTTTTCAAAACATCCAGCAGCCCCGGTGGTGACACTAATGGCCCAGACCTTGCGTGCCTTCACCATGCTGAGCTCATTTGGAAATCCGGCCCCTGGTGCTGAAAGTAGTGCTGGTAGTGAGTGGCCCATCTGTATTAACGTTCCCAATTTTGCTAATGCTAGCAGAGCTCAGCTGCTGTCAGCAGCCATGGGAAATGACTGATAAGACATATTTTCCAACCCTTTTCCCATGAAGGTCCCAGGACCCATTTTTCCCACATACACATAACATTTTTGCAAGTGTCTTGGATAGTTTTCCCTTTGAGCTGCTTGTCTTGTCTACTTACCATAAGTCACTGTTTCTGCTTTCAGATACACCTTCACTGGGATATACACCTTCGAGTCCATGATAAAGATAGTAGCCAGAGGATTTTGCATTGACCAATTTACATTCCTACGTGACCCATGGAACTGGCTGGATTTCAGTGTTATCGTTATGGCGTAAGTATACTCAGTAAGGGACGTGGCACAGGCAGGAAGCCCAGCTAACCAAGTTGTAACATCTGTGGTATAGGATGAATTGGAAACAAATGTCTGGAAAGCCACAGATGTTAGCCACAGATGTTAGAGCTGGTATAGTCTACAGTGGGGGTATGCCCCAATTCCTGCACTGGATGGCCAATCACTAAAGTAGCCACACCCTAAATGTAGACAAGGAGAGCTGTGATTGCATTGGTGGAGCTAACCCCAGTGCCAAGCAGGGTTAAACGTCACTGGGGCATATTGTGACTTTCCTTGTCTACACTTGGGGTTTTGCTCTGGTTGGTGGCCCCCTATGGTCACCTAGCCTGTCCCTCTCAGTCAGGCCTGGCTTGTTACCTCACTTTGCCCAGGAAGAATCAAATTGTGCTACTTCCTACCCATATTTCTAGTCTCTCTGCAGTGAATCTCTTCCTATTATTTCTCTGTCCTCACTAGTGTTCACACCACACCCCTTCAATATTCGCAGGGACTGGTTAATGTGCCAGCTGCTCCCTCTTCCAGGTGGGCAGTGAAGACGTTAAATCCGACCAGTCCTAACCCTGTTGACTGCCTCACGCCACTGCTTGGCTCCCCATGCTTTGACCTGTCAGGTTCAGCCTTGCTCCTCATTCACAGTCCCTCAGATGGTGTTTCCATCCAAGCAGAGTCAAATTAGTTTAGCTAATAAGGTTTAGCAAGTCACTGTAGCAAGTATTGTCCATCTCCTTCATGCAGCCTTCTCACTCCTGCAGCGCTGCTCCCTCATCCGAGGGTCTGAAAATGCTTTGCAGGTTCGGCAGCCGCTGCGTGGAGTAGGGTCCATCAGAGTCCCAGCAGAGGCTGGGAGTAGCTGAGGAGTTCCCGGTCCATTCTGGGCCAGGGTCGATACCAAGGGTCAGAATCCAAGTAACTTTTCAGGGTCTGAGTCAGGCGCAAAGTCCAGAGCAAGCCGAGGTAAAGCCAAGAGTTTCAAGAGCACAGAACAGGAACCATCATGGACATCTGCTGGAATGCCCCTTGGGTTTGTATAGAGCCGGGAGCCAAACAGGAGCCATGAGGCTGCTGCCTATCAAACCCCTAAGTTGATCTCAGCCAGTCATGGGACATGGCACACGGGCTGGGTAGAGCTCCTGCTGGGGGACAGCCTGGAGGTGCTGGCTGCCTGGTAGCTCAGCAGCCCTGGATTCTATACCTGCAGGGCCCTCTGGCGAAGGCTCCTTCTCCCCATTTTACAGATGGGAAAAAAGAGAGACTCTCTTTTTAAAAAAGGGAAGAAGGAGGATCCTGAGAACTACAAGCCACTCAGCCTCACCTCAGTTCCTGGAAAAATCATGGAGCAGGTCCTCAAGGAATCAATTCTGAAGCACTTAGAGGAGAGAAAAGTGATCAGAAACAGTCAGCATGGATTCACCAAGGACAAGTCATGCCTGACTAATCTAATTGCCTTCTATGATGAAATAACTGGCTCTGTGGATGAGGGGAAAGCGGTGGACGTGTTGTTTCTTGACTTTAGCAAAGCTTTTGACACAGTCTCCCACAGTATTCTTGCCAGCAAGTTAAAGAAGTATGGGCTGGATGAATGGACTATAAGGTGGATAGAAAGTTGGCTAGATTGTCGGGCTCAATGGGTAGTGATCAATGGCTCCATGTCTAGTTGGCAGCCGGTATCAAGTGGAGTGCCCCAAGGGTCAGTCCTAGGGCTGGTTTTGTTCAATATCTTCATAAATGATCTGGAGGATGGTGTGGATTGCACCCCCAGCAAGTTTGCAGATGACACTAAACTGGGAGGAGAGGTAGGTACGCTGGAGGGTAGGCATAGGATACAGAGGGCCCTAGACAAATTAGAGGATTGGGCCAAAAGAAATCTGATGAGGTTCAACAAGGACAAGTGCAGAATCCTGCACTTAGGACGGAAGAATCCCATGCACCGCTACAGACTAGGGACCGAATGGCTCAGCAGCAGTTCTGCAGAAAAGGACCTAGGGGTTATAGTGGACGAGAAGCTGGATATGAGTCAAGAGTGTGCCCTTGTTGCCAAGAAGGCCAATGGCATTTTGGGATGCATAAGTAGGGGCATTGCCAGCAGATCGAGGGACATGATCGTTCCCCTCTATTCGACATTGGTGAGGCCTCATCTGGAGTACTGTGTCCAGTTTTGGGCCCCACACTACAAGAAGGATGTGGAAAAATTGGAGAGAGTCCAGGGAAGGGCAACAAAAATGACTAGGGAAATGGAACACATGACTTGTGAGGAGAGGCTGAGGGAACTGGGGTTGTTTAGTCTGCGGAAGAGAAAAATGAGGGGGGATTTGATAGCTGCTTTCAATGACCTGAAAGGGGGTTCCAAAGAGATGGATCTAGACTGTTCTCAGTGGTAGCAGACGACAGAACAAGGAGTAATGGTCTCAAGTTGCAGTGGGGGAGGCCTAGGGTTGGATATTAGGAAAAACTTTTTCACTAGGAGGGTGGTGAAGCACTGGAATGGGTTACCTAGGGAGGTGGTGGAATCTCCTTCCTTAGAGGTTTTTAAGGTCAGACTTGACAAAGGCCTGGGTGGGATGATTTAGTTGGGGATTGGTTTTGCTTTGAGCAGGGGGTTGGACTAGATGACCTCCTGAGGTCCCTTCCAAATCTCATATTCTATGATTCTATGATTCTCTCCTGTAGGACAACCTGCAGGGAAGGGCAGGGGAAAGATGCTTGCGCTCCTCTGGCCTCCTCTTCACTTGGAAAGGGAATCACAATGAAAGACTATTTTGATCCACTGAGTTTGGTGACATGATGCTGGCCACCAACGACCGGCTCCATGCAGACCAGGATGGGTGGTACCAGCTCCTGTGGGCTAAGCTCTGGTCCCAGGAGGCGTGATGCTGACTCCACTGTTAAACACCAGGCCTTGCTTGCCATGCAGGACCCAGCGGGTTCTCTGCTCCATGGGGATGGAATGGTGGCAGCCCAGAGGGGCTGCTGTAGAGTCCGACCTCCCCTGCTCCCACCAGTGGCTCTGGAACACTTTTAATAGTGGCGGTGCTGAAAGCCAGCCCTCTTACCGCGTCTATGTCTGTCCCTGCCCCCTGCAGAGCTGGGGCTGGGAGCAGGGCCATGTCTCCGGGAGGTGGGACCCAGACAGGGGTAAGGGGACCAAGGCTGGGGCTAGAGCTGGGGTCGGGGGCAGCAGCCGGGACACCAGGCATGGGGCCAGCAACGGAGCCCTGGTTGAGGGGCAGCAGCCAGGACCCCACATAAAATCTGGGGTCCTTCAGAACCCCCCGCACCCCTAGTTACCATGCCTATGGCTCCCAGCCTTCCCAGATTAGTGTTGCCAACTCTCTAATCGCACAAAACCTAACACCTTAGCTTGCCCCTGCCCCAAGGCCCTGCTCCCCGATCACTACATTCCCCCTCCCTTGGTGACTCACTCTACCCTACCCTCACTCACTTTCACTGGGCTGGGGCAGGGGGTTGGGTTGTCTAAGTGTCCGTACACCACCTAGTGCAGTGGGGCCATGGTCCAAGACTGGAACTCAAGGGTGCTATCATCATCATCGTCAGGAATCAATCGGTATAGCTCACCTGGTGTAAAACTTCCCAGTATAGACAATACCACAGGCACCTTGCTCCTGGGAGCTTTCCCCAGCCCTCTCAAGGCAACACAGCTCCAGTCCTTCCCCCATGAGTCTTTGCAAGTAGCTGTGAAGTGCTAACAAGTCCTCTTCAGGCACTCAGAGGAGCACACAGCTATAGGCTCTCTCGGAGGCAATGCTGCAGGTTGGCAGCTCTACTGCTTTTGTCTCTGAAAGTGACCATGCCCTAGAGTGCGGCAAAACACCCCTCACGTCCAGCTGCCACAGCAGAGCAAAGTCTGAATCCGTCTTTCCCCCTCTCCACAGTTACACCACAGAGTTTGTGGATTTGGGAAATGTCTCAGCTCTACGAACGTTCCGTGTCCTCCGCGCACTGAAAACAATCACCGTGATTCCAGGTGGGTCAAGGAGCATTTGCCTTCCAAACCATCTCTGTTCCTTTCCACAGTTTAAGCTTTAACTTGAAAAACCAGCCGGCTTGCAGATCTTTGCCCTGCACCTTGGATTGTCCCATGCACCAGTGCAAAATGAGTGTGGAACACTCCTGTTCTTGTGTGATAGTGCTTTATACCCCCTTTGCACTCACTGTCACTGGTGTAACTGTAACTATACAGGTTGGAGGATAGTGGAGACAATGGCCCCTTGCCTGTTGGGAGGCGAAGGCATTTTTCTTTGAGCTGGGGGCATTCTGGCTTTGGTAGTGCTAAAAACTCCAGCAGCATTGCCAGCCCGGTTATAACACCCTGCTTCCGCTGGTGCATAACTTTGCAAAAAAAAATGTCTTTTTGAGCTGACATTCTCCATGGCCCAAAGTGATTTTTTTTTTGAAAACTTTGAGGAAAATGCATTTAAGTGTTTCATATTATTTTCCGTCTTTTACAAAAAGGCATACGTTTCAGGCTTTGACTGTCTACACTTGGAGCTTGGCGTGTGTTCCCAGATCGTGTAGACATACTTGCATTCACCCTCATTGGGCTAAGGTGTAGCTGCGGTAGCCCGGGCAGTGGCGAGCGGTGGCCTAGGCTAGCTGCCCAGCACTCAAACCTGCCTGGACCCCCTAGGCGTGTGTAGGCGGTGGCTAAGCTAGGCCACCGCTTGCCGCTGCCTGGGCTACCGCGGCTACACTACTGTTTTTAGCACACTAGCTTGATAAGAGCTAGCACAAGAGTGTCGGCATGAGCTGGGGTCACACCCCTAGCTCCAAGTGTAGATGTAGCCTTTAGGGTCAAATCCTGCTGGTTTTTACACATGTGAGTGGGTCCCATTCATTCAGTGGGGCTATTCATGAGGAGAGATTATTAAGACTGGGACTGTTCAGCTTGGAAAAAAGCCGACTAAGGGGGGAGATGATAGAGGTCTATAAAATCATGACTGGTGTGGAGACAGTGAATAGGGACATGTTATTTATCTTCTCACATAGCACAAGGACCAGGGGTCACCCAATGAAATTAACAGGCAGCAGGTTTTAAAAAAACAAAAGGAAGTACTACGTCACACAACACATTCTCCACTAAAAATGTTATGCTTATAAGAAGCACAACAGGATCTTTTTCAGGGGAAAAGGCAATGTGCCACAATTATTGAAGATACAACAATTAGCATATGCATTCAATCACACCACAAACACACACAGTGTCCCGCCAGTCGATGTTATAGTTACCAGTCCAGAGTTGGGATCAATCTGGTGGCCAACTAGGTTGATCACAGATAGGGAGGATCCAGGTTCCATTGGTCATGACACAATGCTCCGGGAAAGTCTTGATAGCATGAACCCAAAATTTCATGGCCAGGCCCCCTGTTTATATAGTGATTTTCCTTCACTGGGACCAGTGAGTTTTGCACCATCATGCTGTAATCAATTGTTTGACGAGTGCTTGTTTTCATAGAATTATAGAATCATAGAATATCAGGGTTGGAAGGGACCTCAGGAGGTCATCTAGTCCAACCCCCTGCTCAAAAGCAGGACCCATACCCAATTAAATCATCCCAGCCAGGGCTTTGTCAAGCCTGACCTTAAAAACTTCTAAGGAAGGAGATTCCACCACCTCCCTAGGCAACGCATTCCAGTGTTTCACCGCCCTCCTAGTGAAAAAGATTTTCCTAATATCCAACCTAAACCTCCCCCACTGCAACTTGAGACCATTACTCCTTGTCCTGTCCTCTTCCACCACTGAGAATAGTCTAGAACCATCCTCTCTGGAACTACCTCTCAGGTAGTTGAAAGCAGCTATCAAATCCCCCCTCATTCTTCTCTTCTGCAGACTAAACAATCCCAGTTCCCTCAGCCTCTCCTCATAACTCATGTGTTCCAGACCCCTAATCATTTTTGTTGCCCTTCGCTGGACTCTCTCCAATTTATCCACATCCTTCTTGTAGTGTGGGGCCCAAAACTGGACACAGTACTCCAGATGAGGCCTCACCAATGTCGAATAGAGGGGGACGATCATGTCCCTCGATCTGCTCGCTATGCCCCTACTTATACATCCCAAAATGCCATTGGCCTTCTTGGCAACAAGGGCACACTGCTGGCTCATATCCAGCTTCTCGTTCACTGTCACCCCTAGGTCCTTTTCCACAGAACTGCTGCCTAGCCATTCGGTCCCTAGTCTGTAGCTGTGCATTGGGTTCTTCCGTCCTAAGTGCAGGACCCTGCACTTATCCTTATTGAACCTCATCAGATTTCTTTTGGCCCAATCCTCCAATTTGTCTAGGTCCCTCTGTATCCTATCCCTGCCCTCCAGCGTATCTACCACTCCTCCCAGTTTAGTATCATCCGCAAACTTGCTGGGGGTGCAATCCACACCATCCTCCAGATCATTTATGAAGATATTGAACAAAACCGGCCCCAGGACCGACCTCTGGGGCACTCCACTTGACACCGGCTGCCAACTAGACATGGAGCCATTGATCACTACCTGTTGAGCCCAACAATCTAGCCAACTTTTTACCCACCTTATAGTGCATTCATCCAGCCCATACTTCCTTAACTTGCTGACAAGAATACTGTGGGAGACCGTGTCAAAAGCTGTACTGCTCTCCCAGCAGATATCAGGAAAATTAAAGTCACCCATGAGAACCAGGGCATGCCATCTAGTAGCTTCCGCAAGCTGCCGGAAGAAAGCCTCCTCCACCTCATCCCCCTGGTCCAGTGGTCTATAGTAGACTCCCACCACTACATCACTCCTGTTGCTCACACTTCTAAACTTAATCCAGAGACACTCAGGTTTTTCTGCAGTATCGTACCGGAGCTCTGAGCAGTCATACTGCTCCCTTACATACAGTGCTACTCCCCCACCTTTTCTGCCCTGCCTGTCCTTCATGAACAGTTTATAACCATCCATGACAGTACTCCAGTCATGTGAGTTATCCCACCAAGTCTCTGTTATTCCAATCAAGTCATAATTCCTTGACATCACCAGGACCTCCAGTTCTCCCTGCTTGTTTCCAAGGCTTTGTTTATATTCGTATATAAGCACTTGAGATAACCTGCTGATCACCCCTCATTCTCAGTATGAGGCAGGAGCCCTCCCCTCACAGACAATTTCTTAAATTGTCATTCTCATCCTTTATCTTGTTCTTTTATTAAGTCTCTCAGGGAGTTACCCCAGGCTGGCTTTAATCACACCTATCCTGTCCCCATTGATAGGTGCCTGTCTCATCTTTAGAGTCGTCAATCTGCCCTCCTCTGACATTTCAATAGGGGCGTGTTGCAGCCTCCTGGCGCCCTTGCATCTGTCTCCGGTTTCTCCCTGGAACATCTAGTTTAGTGATGGCCTTCACACTTATCTCTTAATACACATTCCTCATTGACATACAAAACAGAATTAATTTACACAGAACATTTTGAACAGGAATATCAAATTGCAATTCAAAAGAAAAACAATCACAGCATTCTTTTACTTATTTTAAAATGCTAAACCTACAACAAAGCGGTGACCCTCAAAGGTCTATTGCTGCCTTGAAATCAGTCCAAACGTAAAGAAATTCTGGCTGATGCATCTCTACCAATGGCACATTAGGCCATTCCTTTCTGCTACTCAAAAAGGGTGGCTGGCAGGATATGGTCAAATCATACATCAATACATTTGATACATGCTACATTATTATCTTATTCTTTATCCTTCATTCTAGATTATACAAACTACAAACATAAAATCCTACTAATACAAAGCCAACCTGCGTAACTCATTGCCAGGAGATGTTGTGAAGGCCCAAAGCATAATTGAGTTTAAAAAATGTCAGTTCATGGAGGATATGTCCCTCAATGGCTATTAGCCAAAATGGTCAGGGACACAAGCCCATGCTCTGGTTGTCCCTAAACCTCTGACTGCCAGAAGCTGGGAGTGGGTGACAGGGGATGGATCACTTGATAAATTGCCCTGTTCTGTTCATTCCCTCTGAAGCATCTGGCATTGGCCTCTGTCAGAGACAGGATGGCCTAGCTGAGCCACTGGTCTGACCCAGTATGGCCATTCTTATGTGATGATGTTCTTCTGTTCTTATCCAACTAAGTATGATTGACTCATGTGAACAAGAGAAGCAGGATTTAGCATTTTTACTGCACTCAGATAAGTCCAAAATGACTAAACTATAAGGACTTAATTATGGAAAGGACCTCAACCTAATCTCCATGTTTGAGGGGAGGGGGGTGGGTTTGTGACATGCATAATCATGACCCTAATTGAACGCAGACTTGTGCTTAGCCATCTTGGCCTTGATTTTAGCTAGGTCTCAACCTGGCCTCCAAAACTGGGTGCAGGCAGAAAGCTAGGAAACTTAAAGTGTGCAGCTGCGAGCGCAAAGAGGTGAGCACGTAATTCTAGGCCCACCATTTGGCTGGCAGTGTTGGGTATGTCTACAGTGCAATTAGACGCCCACGGCTGGCCTGTGCCAGCTGACGGGCTCACAGGGCTCAGGGGCTGTTTAATTGCAGTGTAGACATTCGGGCTCAGGCTGCAGCCCAAGCTCTGGGACCCTGCTATCTCGCAGTGTCTTAGAGCCCAGGCTCCAGCCTGAGCCCAAACATCAGCATCACAATTAAACAGCCTCCTAGTCTGAGCCCTGCGAGCCTGCATCAGCCAGCCTGGGTGTCTAACTGCAGTGTAGACATACCCTTAGAGGCCACATTTGCAAATATATCTGGTCTGGGACTCCTGATGGTCACCTTATCCCAGCCTCTAGATGGCACCAAGTTATATGTAAATTCAAACTACCTGGCTATTTGCCCAAATATGAGCCAGATGTTGGGCCCACACCCTGAGCACACATAGCCCTATGTTTTGATAAGGTAGAAGCACACCAAGAGCTCAGGTTCAATGGGGGAGGCTGCCTCGCTGGCACAGTGCAGAACCCTTTGGGCAAGGGTGGCTGCAACCTTGTCCAATGGATCCTAACATTCCTTGGGCAAAGACCCAGGAGAGTCTCCTGGCGTCATAGGAGTAACCAGATCGAAGATGCTATGAGGATATTTCATCAGGACAAGAAGACTCTTGTGCCCTGGCTTCTTTCACCACCTGCCAAGGCAGAGGGGACCTAATGCCAGCTAAAACCTATTTGTTTTACTCACATGAGTAGTCCTTCCTCAGCCAAAATACAATAACGGGAGGGAGCCCTCTGTGAACTCCCTACCAGACAAAGGGTTAAAAGCAAAACCAAACAGCAACTCCCCTAAGCCCCGGCAAAGGAATAGGATTACTGGGGTTTGCATCTTCCCTCAGTTCCACAATGTGGGAGTCAAATGGGCATGTGCCCACTCCCCAAATGGCTAACAGCTTTGAATGGATGCCAAGGCCTATGACAGGGCAGCAGGCTTGCTGGTGGGGGATCTGCGGAGGCAATGAAAGTCACTTTTATTCCAGGATAATCAATGCACTTCCCAAGCAGAGTAATTAATCTGGAATGTGATCTCTTTATCTGGTCTAGAGTCTCCACCACGCCAACCGTTATTCTGGAGTGGTTTATTCTCCTCTTGCTGTTCCAGTCAGTTTCACCATGTAGATAGGTCCTTAAAGGATCGGCGTTTTACCTCAACAGATGGAAACATTGGCATGGTGACTGGGACAAACTGATCCCCAATGTATATTTGGACATGAAATGGTTCCAAAGCAAATGCCAGATCTAAGCACTCCTGTACTTTGGGACAGTTTTGGGCTCCAGAGATGAATTCTGAGGCTTGATCCCATAACTAGTTTGGCTGTCATACGAGGGGAATAAATATTTTCACATCTCAAGGGCCTCTCCATTTTTTTGTTGAGGAACTGTCTGTTATTGAGTGTCCGGGGAGGTTGACGTGTTCTCCGACTGGTTTTTGAATGTTATAATTCTTGACAGCTGATTTGTGTCCATTTATTCTTTTGCATAGAGACTGTCTAGTTTGGACACTCAATAACAGGCTTAAAAGTGGCAATTCTTCAACAAAAAAACTTCAAAAACAGACTTCAATGAGAAACTGCAGAACTGGAATTAATTTGCAAACTGGACACCATCAAATTAGGCCTGAATAAAGACTGGGAGTGGCTGGGTCACTACAAAAACTAAAAACTAATTTCCCCATGCTAATTTCCCCCTACTGTTACTCACACCTTCTTGTCAACTGTTTGATATGGGCCACCCTGATTACCACTACAAAAGTGATTTTTCCTCCTGTTGATAATAGCCCACTTTAATTGAATTGTCTCGTTAGAACTGACCCCCCACTTAGTAAGGCAACTCCCATCTTTTCATGTACTGTGTATATCTATCTTCCTACTGTATTTTCCACTCCATGAATCTGATGAAGTGGGTTTCAGCCCATGAAAGCTTATGCCCAAATAAATTTGTGTCTCTAAGGTACCACAAGTACTCCTCGTTGTTTTTGCTGATACAGACCAACACGGCTACCACTCTGAAACCTGTTCTTTTGTGTGATCTAGCACATCAAAAGGACCATTTGTGGGCACAGAGTGATTCAAAACCTCAGGGCAACAGACCTCATTACATGGCGTGGGGCTATTGTGTCAGGGTGTGTGCTGGTGTCTGGCGGGGTCAGGAAAGAACTGACAGGCTTTGTGAATAAGGGATTTTCCAGTTCACTGGCAATTCTGAAAACTCAGGAAAAAAACGTTTTAGGACTAATCGAAAATGACATTTTTTGAAATTTTTGGTGAACTGAATAGTCAAAAAAATCATTTCTGATTTTTTGTTTTAACAAAATCTAAATGGTTTGATTTTGACCATTTTAAAATGTTTTAAATTGTTATATAAACCTAAGGAAATTTGTAAACAAAAAGTTTTGAACTGAAAAATTGAAGCATTTCATTTTAAAAATGTTGAAACAAAATGTTTTCATTTTTTTTATTTTTTGTTTCATTTTTTATCTGAAACAATTTGCAAAACACTTTGGTGTTGCCAAATCTGCATTTTGTGCCAGAAAAAAAAGTGTTGACAGAAACATTTCACCCTGCTTTATTTCCAGCCCTTTGGATAATAGCATTGCACCACGGATGGGTGAATTTTTATGGGAAGGGGTCTTGCCTTACACTGAAATCCAGGTTCTCTTATGGGACGCATGAACTCCATAGCAACATTAGAACATTATCGATGATTAAAAAATTAATAACTACACCAATAATAATGTCTCCCTCCTCAGGGTTGAAGACAATTGTTGGAGCTTTGGTACAGTCCGTGAAGAAGCTCTCTGACGTCATGATTCTCACCGTCTTCTGTCTGAGTGTTTTTGCACTGGTTGGCCTTCAGTTGTTCATGGGGAACCTTCGGCAAAAATGCATTAGGTGGCCACCCCCTATAAACGACACTTTGCAAGAGGACATCTTCGGAATGGACAATGACATGTTCGCTAACTCAACTCTCTCCAGCAACACAACTGGGTTGAGTAATGGGACTTTTGACTGGGATTCGTACATCAACGATGAAGGTAAATACTTATGTGCCTTCTCTCTGCTGTTAAAATGTACCCAAGTAAACAACCTGATTGACTCCTTGCTACCATGCAGAGCCCCTCTCTTCAGCCAATCAACATCCAGGACTGTCCACCATCCTTGGAAAATTTGACACCATGTGACTAAGCCAATGACAAATCAAAATTGGCCACAAACATCAAAAGCTGGAGGTGGAATCCAAAAACGATAAATGAATATTTTTGTCCAAAACAAGAAAATGAGAAAATCAAAATGTTTTGGCAAAAAAGAAAATGTTTAAAACAAAAGGGCAGAACCCTTTATTGAATAAGGAGCCACACACCAAGGGTGGAGAAAGAATTCTGAAACTGCTTCCATATCCAGGGTCCTTCTACAGTGCAGGCACAGTTATACAAGAGGCAGAACCAGCTGCTAGTTAGCCTGTTGCTGCCAAGTAATGCTGCAGCGGGATGGGTATTGTCTGGAGTGTTTCACATCTTGTTTAGAGCCCTCAGCAGAACTCAGTGGCAAGTCACGTTACATGCTGACTGAGGTGCTTTATTCCAACGGCATAAGTGGCTGTGAGGTTAACCACAGGAAGGCTCCTTAGCAGGGGAGTTAACGTCAATATCCTCGAATGACTGAGATCTATACAAACAGCAGTGACACATTCTGGCCATGCATTCAGGTTAACAGCTGCTCACACCAGAACAACACATTCTGGCCTAAAATGCCATATAGGGGGTGGCTTTTCAACACTCCACTGGTTAGTTAAATAAAAGCATGGGGTCTGGGAAGGAATAACCGATTGAGATGCACAGAACAGGCTCCAGATAGGTCCCTCCAGGCCATTCAGAGGGCAAAGTCCGAATCAGGTAACACCCAAGGTGGGGTACTCATTGCTTCTCTATGCAGGTGTCTCAGGCTGCTGATCCTCACCCGCCAGAAGGGCCTGACCCCAGGGCAGGTTCCCCATGTCAGTAAATGAAATGAAATTCCCTCTTTGCTGCGTCTCAGCAGCTGCTGTGGTTCTCATGTGAGTGGGTCACTGGCAACATCAAAGAGGAATGAGTTTGATGCATTCCTGGTCTCGGCACCCTTTGGGGTTGGCTGTCTTAGGAAGGTGTGGGCTGACTGGGATGGGAGCATCTGGGAAAAGGAACTTGTAGTGGGCTCAGTTTAGTGCTGGCCTGAGAGTGCTTGTTATTTTCCACAGTTTCCCAGCAGGGCATGTGCAAAAATTCACTCAGCTGAAAACCCGCAGAGCCATGACACTGGCCTTTCTCCAGTCTTTTCAGTCCCTTTCTATGAACGTTCACACCAGTGAGCTTTGGTTTGCATGAAAGGGAATGTTAACATATGTTCACACAAGCATTCACGCTGGCCACTCTCACTGGCTGTCTCTAGAGCTGTCATTGGGTTGGGAGTCAGCCAGTCGGGCAAGTGAAACAAAACTGTGTGACTAAGGTCACCTGTGCAAATTAGCACATTATGAATAGCAAATATAGGAAGCAATAGCTGTGGTGAATGCTTTGTGCTGGGACACAATCCAATTAGCCATTTGTTGAAAAATTGCAAAGATAAACAAACGTGTGCAAAGCAATGTCTGCAATTCTCACTTCTTGCTTTTTTCCTGAATTGCAAAGGGAATTTCTACTTTCTGGAGGGCTCACTGGATGCTCTGCTCTGCGGGAACAGCAGCGATGCTGGGTGAGTGGGGTCTGTTCTGACTGGCACAAACAGACCTGGGCGGCCCCTGGGGAGGGAAACAAAGAGGCCAGCCGTGGCTTAGTCTGAGGATAGCACTCAGCCGGACCAGCCAACGAGAAGTGACTGGTGTGAGTTTTGCGAAGAGGGTTGTGGGCACAAATGCCCATTGTACGTCTGGGCGCAAATCTTTTGGGAATTGTGAAGGAAACCCTCTGCTCCCATCTTCTTTGCTCTCACACAGACCGTTCAGAGACCTTCCTTTTGTAGACACCACCATGTAGTTTACTGACAGTGCTTCACCTTGCCCAGCCATCCTATGTACAGAGTCATTCAGCTTGACTAGCCCTTCTCCAGAGGGATGGGGGATGAGAAAAGGTCTCTCCACACAGAGATCTCCCTGCATCAGGCCCCAGCTACCCTTGTATCTCTCCCTCTTCTGCTTTCCCACCCCCTTGCACTTCCTTCCTGGGCTCTTTTACCCAGGCTCCTTGTTAATGGGCTAATTAGCTCATTATCTACCCGGCCCCAATCTGATCTGGTCGTCAGGAGCTCCTCTTCTTAATGACAGGTTTCAGAGTAGCAGCCGTGTTAGTCTGTATCCGCAAAAAGAAAAGGAGTACTTGTGGCACCTTAGAGACTAACCAATTTATTTGAGCATAAGCTTTCCTGAGCTACAGCAGAGCTCATGCTCAAATAAATTGGTTAGTCTCTAAGGTGCCACAAGTCCTCCTCTCCTTAACGAGGCCCTCTCCGGGGCCTCATTGGCTAAACAGTGACCAGAGTGCTGACTTGGTTGCTGACTCCTCACGGGGATGGAGCCAGCTGCGCCCCCACTGCCAGGGGGATGCCCTCTTTACTGGGAGGGAAAAGGAGTCTGACGTATTTGTACCTCTCCCTGAGAAATGACCCTGTGGGAGGTTCTGCTGGGAGTGCCTGGGGGCTAATTCCTGAGGGGTCCTCTGGGATGACTCTGCTTCTGTATCTGAAGAGCTATAGGCCAAACTGCAGGTCTCTGCCCATCCTGTTCACCCTCCCTGCAGGTGCACCTGGTTGGTGAATGCAGATCCCCCAGGGCAGCGCAGGAAATGATACACAGACTGGGGGGTGGGAAATATGATGGGGAGAAACGGGAAGCCCAGATGCAAGCTAGATAGGCAGTTGCAGCCTCCTTCTGCCTCCTGCCATTGGTGCTGGAGAACACCTCCGCCCTGTCGCTCCCCAGAGGTTCTTCTAGACAGCTTAGCCTCAGGCCTGTTCCAAGCACAGGCTTTTCGCTTTATAATATACTGAGATTGACAAACTGTTTTTGTGGGGAGGGGCAATGGGTGTGAATTCTAGCCTTAGAAGAGCTGGATGTTTGCTCTACCCACGCAGCCCCGGCTGTGTCAAGTCTCCTATCTTTCCCCAACTGGCTGTTGTGAAATGACTCAAATGGACTAGTAGCCACCTCCTAAGAGCTGGAGCTGAGGTTTTCAGCCCTAGGTGCCTAAAGTGAGGGTCTGTGCCCAGAGCCCCACAAGGCCTGATTGTCAGGAAGTGTTGAGCACCTGCCCTGTGAAAACCAAGCCCCTTGGGGGCGCCTTACATTGAGCACCCCTAAGATGATGCACCCCAAATCACTAGTCACTTGCGAAAATCTTGGTCATAAATCTTGACTAGATACCTAAGTAAGTGGCCACATTTTCAAATGTCCTGTCCACCCAGCAGCTCCCAGGAAGTCAGTAGAAAGAGCTGAGTTCTCAACACTTGACAATCCGGCCACTCTGCGTATGACTACACTGCAATAAACCACCCACAGCTGGCCAGGCCAGCTGAGTCTGGCTCGGGATGCGGGGCTAGGAGATTGCAGGGTAGATATTTGGGTCCGAGCTGAAGCCCGGGCTCTGGGAGGTACTGCCCCCAGCACGGAGCCGCTGGCAGTGCAGGATGACCTGGTCAGCTGGCATGGCGACTTGCTGGCCCCAGAGTCCAACATGGGAACTGAGGGGAGCCAGCAGCGTTGCCGAAGAAGGCCAACAGAGTGACTCTGCTGACAAAACCGGCCCCAGAGGAGGCTCTGCCCCAGGAGCAGCTGCAGCACATCCTGGGGCTGAGCAGAGAGGAGCTTTTTGAGGCTCCCCTCCACCCTGGAGAAATGGCCGCTGTAGAACTGGCCTCAGAAAGTGAAGAGGCAGAAGCCGCTGGTAAGTTTCTGGCTCCATTTTTGTGTTTATTAAAATAGGAATTAGAAATGGGAGGGATTTCCAGACCATGAACCAATGCAAGCCCTGGGTAACACCCTGTATCCGCTAATGGCCGATACCATGCCAGCACATTGGCATCCCCCACCTCCCTCCCACCATATGGAATTCAACATGGAACTCAGGTAATACAAACAGGAAAGCAAGCAATGAAAAGTGAAGTTTTACTAGAAAAGTGCACGTTTTCTGAGGACATTCTGGTTTGTTAAAAATAACAACCTTAAACTGCCTTCCATGTATGCACACTGCTTGACCCCACCCCACCGGCGTGACCAGCCACCCAAAGAGTGAACTGGGGCTCGGGGGCAGTTGAAATGTAATCCATTTTCAAATCTCACCCATTTCTGTTAAATGCAACTCATGCCATCCATGGATGACAAAATCATTTCTCCCAGATACGACTGGAGGTTTGAATTCAGTCCAGAAATGTGCCGGGGGGGTGATGTAAGGGGGATGGCAGTGCAGGTCTGTGTGTTTGCATGCAGTCATAACAGGCTATGTTGGAAGCCTTGGGGAAGCACTGAGCCATGTGTATGCTAACACAGCATCCTGTTCGTTCCCTCGTTACTTTTGACCCAATCCTGGGTGCTGATAGCTGCTAACTTTTCCCATAGCAGGAACTCCAGATAGGCAGTCCCATTTCGGGAAAGGCATATATTCCAGGGCCTCCGTGGTAGCTGAGCTGCCCATTCCGCTCACATGTGTGCTGTTCAGTCGCTATACGTTTGAATACTTTGGTAGCTTCCGTGGTGCTTTCCCACCGGCAGCTTGGAACAACACTCTTGGCCAGCTGGGCGCCACGAGTACTATTGTGTTCTCCAAAATGTGGCATGCTTGAAATGAAAGCCAAGGCTTCTGTAGTATGATGTGGCCACTGACCTCCCCCAGAGCCCCAGGTGGACTGCAGTTTTTAGAAAAAAAACCAGCTGTGTTTTAACTCCCCATTCTCCGTGCACATCTTTTGCTGCGATTAACCCGGCTGTGTCCAGGGCAGCTCCAGCTACCCGAAGCATCCGTCTCCCCATGAGCTGAAGTTCAGTAACATTTTATGTCTTTGACATTCCAAGAGGATTTTTTCTGTGCTCCTGCACACTGTGTCTTGTCCTGTTCCAGGGCCCTCAACCTCTACTGGCTGTTGGACCTCCAGAGCTCACCCTCACTACAGCAGAAGCCTGGTTCACCATACCTTCACAGGCCGCTCCATGGTGAACATATAGTTCAAGTTCTGGACAGGACCAACATGTAGGTCCAGGACTAAAGACAGAGGGACCTGCGGCTAGAGGAAGGCAGGCCATGAGGCAAAAGGAAAAGTTCATGCTGGCTGCACAGCTTAAGGACAGGGTTGCAGCACGGTAGCACTTGCTCCGTGGTTCCTGGAAGAGGCCTGGTGGCTGAGGGAGAAGGACTGAGCTCAGCAGAAAGAGCTGTTTGAGCAGCAGCTATCATTAATGGACACAAGAGTCCCAGCTTCCACTGCATTGCCCAACCCACTATCTGCACCCCGCCTCGGTACCCCATGCTGCAATCCAGAAACATCTGGGACAGCTCCATGGCTGGGTGGCCCATGCAATCGGACCCTATCAGCCACTGGACAGGGCAAGTGTGCCCCATGCAGCCCTCCAGGCTGAACTCCTCCCTGTGGATGCTGCCCTGGCACCAAGTGTGCAGCAAAAGAGGAAGGAAGGGAAAGGAGAGCGGGGACCCAGGGGACATGCAACAGTTGGGGCTTTCTGTCTGGAGGATGGTTTCACTGTTTGCACTTTGTTCCTGGTTTTTTCAAAGGTTTTGGTGCTACTCGTGTTTTGGGGTCCTCATGGCAGCTGCTCTTTTCTAATAAATGTTTAATAATAAAGGGTTTTATTTTGTTAAGAAATGTTCTGACCATCCTGCATCCCATCCCATAATGTGTATTTCAAATAATGAAGGTAACCACATGATCAGGGGACAGTTGGGCAGTTGTATGCAAACGCTATTTCCCAACACAGTTATCTACATCAATCTGTACATCGATCAGCTATGTACATCAATCCATACTGGGAATCCACACCCCCCACTTCCTCTGTCACAAGCGATCACGTCATTCATAAGTACAATGCATGGCAATGACCCCCTAAAGCAATCCACCCCAACTTCACCACGTTCATACAGGTGCTGTTCTCTCTCTTCCCTTGGTCCAGGCAAGCCCATCACGCAGGCGCACGCAGCATCCCTGACTTCTGGTGCCCAGGTACATCCAGCACCAGCACTTTCTGGTTGGTCTGTAAACACCTCCAATGGGAGTTCAATCTGCCAAAAGCGCATTCAACGCCGGATGAGCGAGTCATTCAACCTCCTCTTGCCAGGGCCTCCAAGATCAGGGGACAGTCTGATTAGACAAGGCAAAAGGGCGCACATGGGGTCCTCAAGAAAACAGGGGAGACAGTAGCTCCACTTATGACAATGTCATTTGGTGGGAATAGTGTCCCAGCCTGTCCTTGAATGTAGCCCCCCCATAGGCGGAAAACCCTGGTATCACAACCTGCCTAGTGCAGCCCACGCTGGCAGCCATACATTGGAATCTGTGGTCCACTTGGGCCTGCATACCAATGGAGAAGTACCCTTTGCTGTTCAAGTCCTCGTGCTTCTTGAGGACAAACTGTGGGCCCATGAGTCCCGTCAACGGCCCTGGTGCAGTCTGGAAACCCCATTCTCTCAAAGTCAGCAATAACTTCACGTTGGGAGTAAGCCACACGCCTGACTGCCTCAGAAACCTCTCCCACCACGTTACCCCCAGTCGACGTTCCAACACCAAGCAGGTTAGTAATGGCCCTATAGCAGTCTGGTGAAGCCAGCTTCCAGACAGGTATAATAACCCGCTTCTGGGCTGGCGTGGCCTGCCTCATGCATGTCTTTATGCTGGAGGGTCGGGGCAAGCTGCTTACAAACTGCATGGTGATGTGATCCCACCAGTCCGCGTTTGTGGCCCTGTTCCAGCAGCAGCTATGCCAAGAGTTGTGAGCAGCATCAGCCACGTCTGTGTCCTCCTCCTGCTCCATCGTTAGCTCTTTGGTGGGCCAGAAAATGCTGCCGGGACATCCACTGGAGTCTCATGGAAGTTCTGACCATTTCCTGAAACAGGAGTGACAGTGCAAGCAAGACAAGTTCTGCAAATGCATCTCCTCTGTGTTGCTGGCTTCAGTTGCTGGGACCTTGCAGATTGAAATGTCAAGTCAGCAGGATCTGTTGGTGGCTGTTCAAACTTCCTGTAATGGCCGGGGTGGACAGTCAAGTTTTTCCACACAGAGTTAGAGCCGCCACATTTTGGGAGGGAACTAGGGAGTCTGAGGCAGTGGTGGATTAGCCACTGGGCCAACAGGGCCTGTGCTCAGGGGCCCCGGCCATTGGGCTGGCCCAGAAAAATGGGCTCCCCCGCGTCTGATCCACCTGACCAACACCCCTGCTGATCCACACCGTGCCCCAAACCCAGGCATGTCAGGTGGGGGGGGGTGGGGCAAGCCCCTGCCCCCTGACTCCATTTCCCCGGCACCCAGTTTTGAAAGTCTTGGCTTAATTGTCTGCAAATGTGTATTGCTCTGTGTGTGTGTGTGTGTGAGAGAGAGAGAGACAGACAGACAGACAGACAGAACCAAGTACTTTTAAGATACAGAACTCTTGCCTCTTACTTTTAAACTCCAGCAAACCAGCTGGAGTATACCAGTATACCACCAGCATCAGGCCTGTACATCGTACATGGTGGGGTAAACACAGGGGGTCTCCTTAGCATTCACACGCATTAGCTCTTCTGTATCACGTGATAGTCCAGGGTTGCCTATTCAATAAGGATCTGACTCTGAACTGAATGCTTCTCCATCTGGCCTTGAGTCACCCCTGTGCCAGCCCACTTGCTTCATTGGGGTTGCGCAGGTAAAACTGGGCCATTCGCACCTTGCACCCTCCTCAAGTTTCTGAACATAAAACTCGATTCACTTTTGCCCTGGCTTACCTTTCCTGTGCCAGGCTGGGGCTGAATTTAGCACTAACACACCCTCTTCTCTCTGCTCCCACTGGCAGGAAGTGCCCTGAAGGATACATGTGTATGAAAGCAGGAAGGAATCCGAACTATGGGTACACCAGCTATGATACATTTAGCTGGGCTTTCCTTTCTCTCTTCCGCCTCATGACTCAGGACTATTGGGAGAATCTCTTCCAGCTGGTGAGCCCTTTCTTCCCTTTTATCTGGGTTTTCCCACTGGCAAAGGCAATAGCTTGCATTCGATTGCACGTCCCCCTACACGTGGCAGGGGTCCTTTGAATTAAAGGTCATTGTGGTTTTTTTTTTAATTTCCTCTTGTTTTTTGTGTGGTGATGGAGGGTCCAGCCCATCTGTGGGCTGGGAAATCTAAAACATGCCTCTGGTCACTTGGTCACTCAGTGTAAAGCACGTGGGAGCTTGTTGCTTATTGATATTCATCCGAAAGCATCTGGGCTGGAAGGGAGCACCCGGCTGAGTGCAATGGGGCATATTTTCCATGGAGCTGGGCCTGATGTAACCAGTCCACACGATACAGTTGACAACAGACATAATCACAATCCCCTAAATAAGTCCCTCCCAGGCACATTGGGAGCTAGCAACCTTTGCCCTTAGTTGCAAGGACAGGGGCTGGCGCTGAAGGAGGACTCACAGCTGGTGGGAATAGCAGGTCCTCTATCTTCTCTGTTGGGGCATCACTAGAGGGCAAGATCACACAAGAATACTCACGTTCTAAGGCCTGCCAGTTTGTATCCGTACCGAGAGTCTGAGACCTCTCAGGGCCAGGGGCATTTGGATGAGCCTATTGTGATGATCAGAGTCTGCTGTCCAGATCCAGGTTCGGCTTCTCAGCCCCTCAGGAGAGTGAGGATCTGTGGTTTTCATTCCCGGCAATCCCTCAGGCTCCTCTGCTGGGTGGAAGCACCATGCATGCCATCCCAGTGCGCACGCCGGAGGAGAGCCCTGTTGTGCTGACGCCTCTGGGGACTGTAGTATAACTCACAACCCACTGACACTCACCACAGCACGAGCAATGAGGGGAAGGCTAGATGGGAGTAAGGCCCTCTCAGTTATGTGAGGAGAAGGTGACTCAAAGCCACGCCCATCACTGGGAAGAGGCACTAAGGTAGCCTAGCAATTAGAGAGTAAATAGACTAGTGATCTGACCATCTGTGATGGAATGTGCCTCTTCTTTCCACAGACCCTTCGCGCCGCTGGGAAAACATACATGATCTTCTTTGTGGTGGTTATATTCCTTGGTTCCTTCTACCTCATCAACCTGATCCTGGCTGTTGTAGCAATGGCCTACGCCGAGCAAAACGATGCTACCATGCTGGAGGAGCAGCAGAGAGAGGCAGAGTTTCAGCAGCTCCTGGAACAGCTGAAGAAGCATCAGGAGGAACAAGAGAAACTGGTCAGTCCTACGGCGGCCTGGCTGCCATGGGGATTGGGAGCACTAAGAATGTGGGGCCGGAGTCTAGGTCTGTACTGAAGCTGGGTGCGAGCCGCTCGGACCAGGTCGACAGGGCAGGGCTGAAACTAGTGCCAGAGTGGACACTGCATCTCGGGCTGCCAAGTGTAGGGGGTTGGGTGGGAAGGATCAAAGTAAGGGGGCACCGAGGGGAGAAGCCCACTGGGCAGAAGAGCGAGGTCAGCCAGTGGCAGTGGTAGGGAGGGGTGGGATTACAGGGAACTAACAGCCAATGTCAGCCCAGAAAGTGAGACAAGAGATCCAGGCTGCGGGGTCCTCCACTGAAGCTAAGGAGCCCCCCGCATGACAGAGGACGCGGTGCAAATGTGGATCAGAAGAAGCCTGGCAGTTCTATGTGGCCATTCCCTGCCGGAGCTGGGAGGAGCTTGCAGGGCTGGGCTGAAGTCCCCAAGCCCTCATGCCTCCTTTCTCAAAGCAGCCAGTGCCAGGCAGACCTGAAGGAGGTAAATTAGAGATGTCCAGTCCCACCTCCTCCCACCTCCCCATTGGACCCACCCCTGGGCACCAGGCCCAGCAGCCTCAGGTTCCTGCCCACATCGTGAGTAGCAGCTGGGAAGGGCCTTCACAGCCTTCTGGCACCATCCTTCACTCCGCTCTGTAATGCAGCCTCTCGGGCTCCGATCCTGGGCTGGGGGTTGCCAATTTTGGTTGGATATGTTCCTGGAGGTTTCATCACATGACATAATCTTTCATTAAAGATTCATCTTTAATTTCTGGAGACTCCAGGACAATCCCGGAGGGTTGGCAACCTTACTGGCTGCACTGTGGCTGCTCTGCCCTGAGCAGCTTCTAAGCCCCCGCTCCCTGCAGCTGGCCATGGATGTGTGGCCAGAGCAATAGGGGTGTGGCCGAGGCATCCCCACATCCTGGTGCTGTCGGGCATTGCAGCAGGTGCAAGTTAAGTGACCCTCAGGCAGGTCTATCTTACACTGAAGAAATGGTCCAGGACCTGGGGGCGGGGAGGTGGCTTAAGGCCACGTTTGCAACCCCTGTCCTCTGTTGTGTCAAGGGCTCCTTAGCTGCAGCTGAGGATCCTGCAGCCTGGATCTCTTGTCTCATTTGCTGTGTTGCTGTTGGCTGTTACTTCCCACCTCCCCCTACCACATCCACTTGCTCAGTTCACTCTTCTGCCCGGTGGGCCTCTCTCCCTCCCACCTTCCTCATCTTCCCTTCCCCTCGGTGACCCCATCCCTTCATCCACTCCCTCTCTTACTCCTCCAGGCGTTAACTATTAGCTGTGTTGCAGAAGCGCCAAGGGCACCAATGTGCTGCCCAGTGCAACAGTCTGGGAGCTGACCTTGTTCGTGAAGACAGAGGCAAAGAAAGCATTGAGTACATTAGCTTTTCCCACATCCTCTGTCACTAGGTTGACTCCCTCATTCAGTAAGGGGCCCGCACTTTTCTTGACTTTCTTCTTGTTGCTAACATACCTGAAGAAACCCTTCTTGTTACTCTTAACATCTCTTGCTAGCTGCAACTCCAGGTGTGATTTGGCCTTTCTGATTTCACTCCTGCATGCCCGAGCAATATTTTTATACTCCTCCCTGGTCATTTGACCAATCTTCCACTTCTTGTAAGCTTCTTTTTTGTGTTTAAGATCAGCAAGGATTTCACTGTTAAGCCAAGCTGGTCACCTGCCATATTTACTATTCTTTCTACACATCGGGATGGTTTGTTCCTGTAACCTCAATAAGGATTCTTTAAAATACAGCCAGCTCTCCTGGACTCCTTTCCCCCTCATTTTATTGTCCCAGGGGATCCTGCCCACCAGTTTCCGGAGGGAGTCAAAGTCTGCTTTTGTGAAGTCCAGAGTCCGTATTCTGCTGCTCTCCTTTCTTCCTTGTGTCAGGATCCTGAACTCGACCATCTCATGGTCACTGCCTCCCAGGTTCCCATCCGCTTTTGTTTCCCCTACTAATTCTTCCCTGTTTGTGAGCAGCAGGTCAAGAAGAGCTCTGCCCCTAGTTGGTTCCTCCAGCACTTGCACCAGGAAATTGTCCCCTACACTTTCCTAAAACTTCTTGGATTGTCTGTGCACCGCTGTATTGCTCTCCCAGCAGATATCAGGGTGATTGAAGTCTCCCATGAGAACCAGAGCCTGCGATCTAGTAACTTCCGTTAATTGCCAGAAGAAAGCCTTGTCTATGTCATCCTCCTGGTCTGCTGGTCTCTAGCAGACTCCCACCACGACATCACCCTTGTTGCTCACGCTTCTAAACTTAATCCAGAGACTCTCAGGTTTTTCTGCAGTTTTATACCAGAGCTCTGAGCAGTCATACTGCTCTCTTACATACAAGGCAACTCCCCCACCTTTTCTGCCCTGCCTGTCCTTCCTGAACAGTTTATATCCATCCATGACAGTACTCCAGTCATGTGAGTTATCCCACCAAGTCTCTGTTTTTCCTATCACATCATAATTCCTTGACTGTGCCAGGACTTCCAGTTCTCCCTGCTTGTTTCCCAGGCTTCTTGTATTTGTGTATAGGCACTTAAGATAACTCGCTGATCATCCCGATTTCTCAGTATGAGGCAGGAGCTCTCCCCTCTTGAGCTCTCCTGCTCATGCTTTCTCCCAGTATCCCACTTCCCCACTTACCTCAGGGCTTTGGTCTCCTTCCACCTCCCTAGGTAACCCATTCCAGTGCTTCATCACCTTCCTAGTGAAATAGTGTTTCCTAATATCCAACCTAGGCCTCCCCCACTGCAACTTGAGACCATTGCTTCTTGTTCTGTCATCTGCCACCACTGAGAACAGCCGAGCTCCATCCTTTTTGGAACCCCCCTTCAGGTAGTTGAAGGCTGCTATCAAATCCCCCCTCACTCTTCTCTTCTACAGACTAAATACCCCAGTTCCCTTAACTTCTCCTCGTAAGTCATGTGTCCCAGCCCCCTAATCGTTTTCGTTGTCCTCTGCTGGACTCTCTCCAGTTTGTCCACATCCCTTCTGTAGTGGGGGGACAAAAACTGGACACAATACTCCAGGTGTGGCCTCGCCAGTGCCGAATAGAGGGGAATAATCACTCCCCTTGATCTGCTGGCAATGCTCCTACTAATTCAGCCAAATATGCCATTGGCCTTCTTGGCAACAAGGGCACACTGTTGACTCATATCCAGCTTCTCATCCACTGTAATCCTCAGGTCCTTTTCTGCAGAACTGCTGCTTCGCCAGCCAGTCCCCAGCCCATAGCAGTGCATGGGATTCTTCCGTCCTAAGTGCAGGACTCTGCACTTGTCCTTGTGGAACCTCATCAGATTTCTTTTGGCCCAATCCTCCAATTTGTCTAGGTCCCTCTGCTTTGAGTTTGGTTTGCTTTGAGCTGAGAATGTGCTGAGAGGGGAGAACTGTTTGCCCACAGTGGTAGCTCTGAGGCCCCGAGGAGAAAAGACATGTCAGCAGTGGGAGAGGCTGCACCATTTCCCTTCCCCAAGGAGATAACTCTAGTAGCTGTTACCCATGTCCCTTCCCGTGTGGAGTTGACAGGCAGGCAACATGGGCTGTGTCACTTCCAAGGTGCATCCTGACCCATTTTCATGAGGAATGACTAAGCATTAAGCAAAGAGAAATGGGTCATCAAACCATTGCCTCAATCTCAGCAGAAAGATTCCCTCCCCTCCCCCACAACACACACACTGCGTCCCACTGAGGAAGCTCCCACCACACAAGTCTCTGGTTTCTTTGCAGTTACAAGACCGTAAATCAAGTGGCATCTCCCAGAGCACCAGTGCAGTGGACAAGAAGACGGGGGACTCTGCCCCAGCTGCAGCTGACAATCAAGGCAAATCCAAAGACTGCAACGGGCGAGTCATTGCCAGGGTCGTGCTTGAGCACTCAGCGACAGTTGAGGAAGTATATACTCGTTATGTTTCGTCTCTCTGGTGCTGTCTGTGCATGGCACGCTGTATTCATCTCTGCACTGCTGCAGAGCCCAGCAGAGGGACCAAGTGGGGAGAGTTTGGACTTGTCTGTCCTGGGGCTGCTGGGAGCCACAGTCCGAGGCCTTCTCCAACTTGTTCTGCTTGCTGCAATGGCTGTGATGGACTGTTACAGCCCAGCAGAACATCTGGGGCTAACACTCCAGCCATGCCCTGTCCTGTCCCCAGGCCCCTGCAATCTTGGCCAGGTCCCTCGGGCCAGAGGGGATTCCCTGAGTGGGGGAAGGGCCTGGGCCTCAAGCTGCTTCTCATCCCTTTTTCCCCAGTGGAGCTGGAGAGGTTAGGGATGGTCTAGATAATCCTTAGTCCTGCCCTGAGTGCAGGGGACTGAGTGCAGGGGATGACCTCTCAAGGTCCCTTCCAGTCTGAGTCTCTGATTCTTTGAGAGTCTGCCTGATGCCTGTGAATTTGCCCCAGTGACTCTCCTACACCCACGGGCTGAACTCTGCTCTTGGGCTCATGAGAATGATTCCCATCGAGCTGATTTCAGCAGGAGCCCCGTCCACTTGTCACAGGTGAAATGAGAGTGTAACAGTTCACAGGGAGGGAGGGGGAAAGAGGACCACACCTGACTCCCTTCCACTCACAGAGAATCCCACTCTGATGCACATGGCGGAGAGGGGCGAGCCTCAGTGTAACTGATGTCCCAGCCCCAGGGAGCCCGCCGGCCCCAGGTGTAATTCACAGGGCGGTGGGAACTACTTTAACCAACATTTTTCTTACCCTCCCGTGTCGGCTGCTTTTCCTGCTGCACCCTGTTTGCGGACCCCTGAGTGTGTGAGTTCCATCTGCGTTGCAGCTGGAGGCCTAGGTCCCAGCTCACGTTCACAAATATGTGCCAGCTCTGATCAAACTAGTGTGCTAAAAATAGCAGAGTAGCTGCGGTGCTACAAGCAGTAGGTGGGCCTTGCCGCCCAAGTATGTGCCAAAGAATGCGGCGGCTGCACGGCCGTGTTTAATGCCCTAGCGCGATCAAAGCGAGGGCCTGTCTGTCTGCCCACCCTGGGAATTACACTTCCAACTTCAGTGAAGACATACAACTCCCTTAGATTCTTCTGTGCCCCTTTGGGACGAGGAACCTGTTGGAAACAACCTTCCCTCCACAGTCTGCTTTGCAGATCTCAGCTCATGGGCCAGCTCCAATCACTTCCCTTTTATACGGCTTTCAGCCTAGGACATCCCTCAGGGGACTAATGACCTGCCTTTACTGCAGCCATAGAGTCATCTGATGGTTTAAGGAGCTTCCCACAGTAGCCCCAGACCCATCTGGTTATTATCTGCCTAGTTCTTCCTTTTAGTACAGCCCAGGCTGTGCCATGAGGACCCATGTGATTATTATGCTGCCCTCACTCTAAATGCGTTTAATGGACTCCTGTGACCCATGTTCTCATATTATGACCTGCTCTCCTTTTTGTAGCCAAGTCCTGTGGATAAGCAAGACAAGTCTGATCCTGATCACCTACTAGCGGGCAGCCAAAACGGGCCTGGTCTCCAGCAGAGAGCAGAGAGCGCAGTCAGCATGGTCTCTAACACCATGGAAGGTAGATTCCCGCCCTGATAAAGAAGGGGCTGCGCTGGGTACTGTTCAACACGAAAATGCCAAGCCGAGGACACGCTCCCACGTGCAGCAGAGAGCTCTGTATGGATTGACTGTAACGCTGACAATCAGTGTCAAATCCATAAAGGCTCTGAGAAGCAAAAAGGATTTTCAGGACAAATGTCACTTAATATAAACCAGAGAATAGGAACATAGGATTGGAAGGGACCTGTCGGGTCACTAAGTGCATGCCCTCACTATTGCACGCAACCTGTCATATCATTCTGCTCATAAACTTAGCAAACTCCATCTTAAAACTAGTGAGGTTGGCTCCCCCCACTGTGCCCACTGGGGGGCTGTGCCAGAACCTTCCTCCTTGGATGGTTAGAAACCTTCTTCTAATTTCTAGCCTAAATTTATTCCCAGCCAGTTTTCTCCCCTTTAGTTCTTGTGCCAACGTTTCCCCCCTCTCCCCCCCACAAGGTTCGCTATCAACACAATTCAGTGCTACCCCAGCTCCAATCTAGCTATGCTGTGCTGTTCTCCTCTTCCCCATCCTTTGTCTGCTGCTTGTCTTAGATTGTAGGACTGTTTAGTATAGGTCCAGTCCCCTCTAGTGCCTGGTCCCCGAAGTAGCTGCTCAAGGAGTAGCTCCTAGGTGACAGTGTTGCATGCTCTCCACATGAAAAGCGTGCTTTCAGTTCCTGCTGATAACCTGTGAACAGTGCTTGTTGCCCAAGGCCTTTGAGGCAGAAGTTGTGTATTTTGGTGGCTGTGGCCAGGGCTCCTCAGGTTGTGGGCACACTGCAGGATTCCAAAGAGATGATAAAATGAGAAAAGCGAGATTGCAAACAGTCATGATATTACTTCAAACCCCAGATTCATCTCTTAGCTCCTAGTCGCCTGGTTCCATGGCTGGGCCCACATGGGACATTTTTCTTAACTCAAGTAGGATGTCCCCTAGACTCCTTGGCAACAATTTGCGTTATCGACCCAGCCAGAGATGCTATTCAGTCTTTGTGTCAAGTGGGGCCAGGAGTGATTCTGTGACTTCCCAAATAAAAACACACTCTATTCATTCACTGATTTGTCCTCCTGGCTATAACATGTCTCTTTGGCGCCAGCCCTTATCCAATCCCATCTGTGAACACAAATATGAAAGCTGCAAGCTGATCCAGCATAGGGACTGTCAGCTCGGGCATTCCAGCTGACCCCAGCTGCACTGGGGGCAGGCCCTCATTAAGATAGCCAAGATCTGAAGAGCAGGAAAGGTTTGATAGACCAGGAATAGTTTATTCATTGACTCCTTGACCTTTCTAGTCCTCTTTGATTTAGTGGATCAGCTGCATCTCCCCTGGATCTGTTCCATCAGAGATGCAGCTGTTCAACAATAATTGGGGCTGGGATATACAAAGAGACCCAAGGGAGTTAGGCACTCAATTGCAGTGGATGTCTCAGATTGTAAGCCCATTAGGGCAGGGAACAAACCATCTGTTTGTTCAGAACATAGCACAATAGGCTTCAGGGCCAGAAGTGGAGTTCCTAGTTGCTACGGTAATACAACTAAATATATAAATAACCATTTCAGTGGGATTCAGGTACCAAACTCTCGGCTAATTTGAAAGCCCCAGCTTAGATCAGCTGCATTTTTGAATATCAGCCCAGCCAAGCCGGTTTCCCACACTTTTCTCCACCAAGTTGCTTTGCTGTGCTGCAGTGAGAAACGTCATGTCCCGGACAGGAGCAGACCGGCATCTGCCCGTGGGTTTGCATACAGCCTAATGAACACATTCTTGAGGACGAAGGCAATGCCTGTGTCCTGCAGACGCCTGTGTTCCTGTTACACCTTTGTGACACCTACCGCATCCGTGTGTCCCAAACGGTCCTTTACACAACCATAATAAAGAGTTTGGCACCCTTTTGCACCCACTCCATGCTTAGTGGCCCAATGCACTAGTCTTGTTGCCAGCGCTAGGCTGGATCAAGCCTCCTCAGCCAAGCTTCTGTCTGTTGACTTAGCATGTGACTTTTCTCCGGAGGCACATGGGCAATGACATGGGGTCTTTGTCTCTTGTTTTCAGAGCTAGAGGAAGCTCGCCAGAAGTGTCCACCCTGGTGGTATAAATTCGCCCAGATATTCCTGGTCTGGGACTGCTGCCCCCTCTGGCTGAAGCTGAAGGCGTTTGTACGGCTGATTGTGATGGACCCGTTTGTCGACCTGGGGATCACAATCTGCATTGTGCTCAACACGCTGTTCATGGCCATGGAGCACTACCCAATGACCGAAGAGTTTGAGAACGTGCTGAGTGTGGGGAACCTGGTAGGAAATTGCCTGGATTTGATTTTTCCATTGATCACCCTTTACAGCTCTGCTCCAGAGCTCAGTGAGGGACCTATGAGCAGTGACCACAGGCGTGTGAACAACCCCCTGCCATACTGCAGGGATGGTGCTGAGCAGGGTTGGATCGCAGCATGACTGCACCAACTCAAGGAAAGCTACCACAAGGGGCAGAAGGGAGCCAGAGGACCAGGAGCCGCCCCCGTTTCTCCTGCTGGAGCTTCCCTGGAGAAGCTCACGTGGCCTGACACCTCCTTGTCAGCCCTGAGGCATGTGCAACCTGGCGGGATCACAGCCCCACAGATGGGTCCCAGCCCACTGTAGGGATCCTGGTCAGAAAGAGCACTGTCAGGGTGGGCAATTCCAAGTGAAGACCCCAGACAGCCAGGCTGTCAATCAAGGCACAGCCCCGAGGACTGGTCCTGCCAGCCTGTTCTCTGCCCTGGCAAATCCTGGGATGTCAGACCCCGGCCTCACTTGTTAACCAGCTCATGTGGCTGTGCAGGTGGGATTTTCCAAAGAGTCAAAAGGAGATAGGCACCCAAATCCCACTGGAATCTGTGAAGTAAGCATCTAACTCCTGTTGGCTCCCTGGAAAACCCTAGCCTAAGGAGACTCCGTATTTGTCTCCTAGCTTTGATCTCCTCCCCAGCAAAGCCAGAGTCTCGGCAGAAGCAGCTTCTGTTTCCATGTTGCGAGGTGTCCCCATGGCCCAGGGTGGCAAAATGATGATTTCATTCCCTTGTGTCTTCTGAATTGCATATTTTCTCCTCACTGAGCTGCACAGGGCCATTTGAACTCTTGCATCTGGACACGGGACCCTCTTAGCTGTCAGCAGAAGCAGGAGACTCCAAGGGCACCTTGCTGGGTATGGGGGGGGGGGGCCTGCTGAGGGGCAAATGTTAACATTCCTGTAGCTCTTTAGAGACCATGGGAACGTGCCACACAATTACCATCCCACTTGTGATTTCCACTGGGGCATGGCCCCAAACCCCACCAAATTGCTAACTCCTCTTGGCTCCCCTGAACACCCCAGGTTAAAATGTTTCCATATAGCAGAGGATGCAGGTGTCACCCACCCATGTTCTCACATACTCCTTAAAAGGCCAGTGAAGGCCCATCATTTAAAAGGGAGCTACTGATCCTGGTGGCCCTGCAGCCCACTCATGAGGGTGTGGTACCGGTGTCCCTTTGCGCCTGATCTGCAGAGCAGGTCAGTCTGTTACAGCCCTTTGTTTGTCTTGGCAAACCCAGACAAAGTGGGGACCTCAAGAGCTGTCCCAGCTGACGCTAAAGAGCTGGGATGTAGCAGGCTCATTTCCTCTGTGGATCGGGCACAGATGGGGAACTGTCAGGCATATGCACCACCATTTCTGGGAGCCCACCTTGAACTCAGAGTGATGCTCAAGTGTGATGCTCAGAGGCGCTGAGTGCCCGCAGCCCCACGAATGCCCTGGGGTCCACATGTGCACCACTCTTTGGAGAATCAGGTTCTAGGCAGCCAGATTGGAGGCCACTTTTGGAAAAGCCTCAATGAACAGCCTGGAAGCTGGACCCCTGGCTGTCTGGGCAGGGCGCAGCACACCACAGCTCCCAGCTCATGCAGGGCTCAAGAGACCAGCCCCGGAAATCGATTCAAAACTGAGGGGCAGGGTGGTGAGAACAGCGTCCAAATGTGACTGTAAGGGCAGACTCCCTGGGAACTTCCAGCTCCAGGCAAAAGGAGGGGAAGGGAGCACCAGGCAGGAGGAGGAAGAAGGAGTGGTGAGATAGGAGGCTGGTGTTGGAGAGAGGGAAGCAGGAGCAGGTGGAGCAGAGATGGAAGAAGACCGAGCTGTGCTGGCTGAGAAGGTTGTGAGGTTGATGCCGAAGGCGAGAGAGGGCCAGGTGCCTGAGAGAATGGGGCACAGCTGAGTGGCACAGCCAGGGGGCTGAAGGAAACATCATCTGGGGTCGAGAGTGAGGAAGAGACCCTCCCAAAACAGCAAAGAAACGAGAAGCCAGCGCGGTGTGAGTGTGACACTGGGTCTGGCTACACGGCATTTGGGGCAGGAGGGCAGGACAGGCCGACAGGCCCGAGCTAGATCAGGTGAAGCTGCAGCAGCTCTGGCTGTATGAGCCCAGCCCAGACCCTGGGCAGCTGGCCCACGCTAAGGCCTGCATTGCCGTGGCTTCACGGCTGTTGGGCTACGCATGCTGCAGTCACACACACACCCCGTTGCAAGGTAGCCATATCCTGTAGGTGTGTCACTGCAAAGCCTGCATTAGCCCCCCTCCCTGCCCAGAGGCTTTCAGCGTGAGCAGAACAGGGCTGCGTTAGGTGCTACATGGCAGAGGCAAGCACCCAGCAATTCTTATTGTCACCTTGCCGTAAGATGGGGGGAAGCCGAAGGGAACTGGGGTGAATATCTACCTGTTTCCCTTTGTGTGCACAATCCTTGCCATCTCTCCCCCCAGAGCAGACTGTGCCTGTCCAGGCACTCTCTCTCTCTGGCTCTCCCTTCATGCAGGGGACCCAGTATTTCATGACTTCACTCCAATTCCCTTTGCATTTGAACGTAAAGCATGCCCCTTCCCTCCCATGGCTAGGCTAGTCTCCCTCTCAGAGCCTCTGCGCATAGCTACTGAACGGACATGGAGCGGGGGCCAGCGGCCCTAGGCAGAATGACGCTAGTCACATACCGGCTTTGTATCTGATTTCATTCAGGAAATACAAGGGGATTAATAGACTATTGGGTTTAGCACAGTCTATCCACAAAACCAGCTCTGGCTTTTCCTTTAGTCTATTTACAATCCTCCTGTAGAGTTTAAATCCAGGAGGACAGTGGGGGTCGGGGGGAGGCAGAGAGCCCTGCCAGGCAGGGCTGAGCATGCAGAGAGAGTGAGCATGCTCCCCAATGGCCTAAGCATCCATATTGCTTCTGCCAAGCACCCACCCGGCCTTGCCCCTGCCTTCCACCTCAGGCAGGTCAGTCGTGCCGTGGGAGCCCTGCGATTCAGACCATTCTCCCAAGGATAAGGCCTCAGCACATTTGCAAACCGCTTGCCCGCAGCAGCAGAGAAGGTTGCGACCCTGCTGCAGACCAAAGCAGGGTCAGACAAGAAGCCTGCCAGGGACCCTAGCTGTCCCCCACTCTCTCCCCTCCCATCCTGCTCTCCCCAGCCCAGACCTTATGGAACTCCAGTGAAGGCTGGTCCATGGATTCCAAGGGGGGGGAGCATGCCATGAAGCCAGCTCTCCCACCTGCTGGTGGATTGCCCATGGGAGTTACATACAGCATGTGCCTAGACTCTAGCCACAGACGTGACTTTGTGGGTCATGACTGTAAGTTGGAGAGTTGGAATAAAACTTCTTCCTGCTGTAGACACTTGGGATGAGGAGGAGCAGCTCCCGACATGGGGGGGAAACCAGGTACTGAGCATGAGCAGAAAGGCTAGCTATCCCACTAGCCCTTCAGAGACGGGTTCGCCAATTTAAACGTATCAGAGATAGCTTCTCCCTGAGACCCAGCCTCATGCAGCTGGATTCTCAAAGCTCAGTTACCAAAATCAGTGGCCAGATTTGCCAGAGCTCAGCACACTGGGGCACGGAACTCTTTTGAAAGAGGCTTGGCCCATGGTGACGGTAACGTTTGCCACTATTTGAGTGCCAAACTCAGTCAGAACTGTAAGGGAAAGTGTTTGTCTCCTGCTCAGAAAGCAGCTGAATGGATTCCACAAGACCCACTCTCCCACCCCTTTCCAGCAAACTCCCTTTTGGACTGAGCTCAGGCAGAATCTCTGAAGAAAACCTTGTGGGGGAGAGAGGAAAGGGAGTTAGAATGAAGAGACCTTCTCATTGGGCTTGCATGATCATCTTGTCTGACCTCCTGCCTAGCACAGACCAGAGGATTTCACCCAAGGATTCCTGCACCTGGCCCAGTCCCCTGTGGCTGGACGAGACTATATGATTAGAATCAGTCTGGCCGGTGAGGAGATGAAGCCCAGCAGGAGTCAAATACAAATGGAAACTAAAGTCAGCAAAACGAGCATTGCTGAGCTGAACACGTGTCATGTTTGCAACCTACCATCAGCCCAGCTCTGCACACCCAGAACTCGGGGCTATGAAATGCAAACACTTGGAGTAGGTGGCTAATTGTCACATAACTGCTACTGTGCTGCGGTAATGCGATAATGCAGAGCATCGTTATTGTCCCAATAAGACAGTAATGTGTAAAAGCCAGATCGCCTTACCCAGCAGCCAACCTCAGGGGGAGTGACAGAGGCAGAGCGCTGGAAGGGACCCCTGGGTTTCCTCCTAAGTTGAAAGTAACTTGAGGGTGCTACTTGGTCAACTGGATTTTATTTTGTTGTGACAGCATCCCCCCATGCCAAGTATTTCTGAAGGCGATTGGTGGCAAAAGCGTTCACATGGGGCTCACAAACAATAGTCCTCTTTCCCCCGTTCCCAGTCAGCCTAGAGCTGCCGCATAGCAACCTTCGTTCAGGGTCTCCTGGAGCCTGTTGCACTCCCACACGACTTCCAGCAAAAGAACTCCAGGGCACTCAGTCTCTCTGGGCTTCCAGGAAGAGAATTCCAAGACTCTGCGTCTCCTGAGGCTCCTGGACTATCTGCTTTAGTTTCATGTTTCCTGTGCCGTTTTGTCGTCTGGTGCTGTCATGCCTGGCGTGTGACACTTCATGATCTGCCGTTTAGGGCATGTCTACCCTGCACTGGGGTGTGGTGCACGGCGTGTAGACATATCTGTGCTAGCTTTGTCTGAGTGACACGAACAGTGCAGCTGCAGCAGCATGAACAGTGGCTCTAGCCAGGGTGCTGGGTGAGCAGGGGTAGCCCATGCACCCTCCATGCTGCCACAGCTTCACTGCTATTCTCACCTGCGGTAGCTTTCATCTAGTTAGAGAACATACAAATGGCCACACTGGCTCAGACCAATGGTCCATCTAGCCCAGTATCCTGTCTGCCGCCAGGAGGCAGAGGCAGATGCTTCAGAGGGAGTGAACAGAACAGGGCAATTACAAGTGACCCATCTGCTGTCATACACGCCCAGCATCTGGCAGTCAGAGGTTAGGGACTCCAGAGCATGGGGTTGCATCCCTGCCCATCCTGGCTAATAGCCATTGATGGGCCCATCCTCCATGAGCTTACCTAGTTCTTTTTGAACTCAGTTACACTTTGAGCCTTCACAACAGCCCCTGGCAAAGCTAGATCAAAGCTGGCTTGGGTATGTCCATGCATGCTGCAGTCGCACCTCCCAACGGCAGTGCAGACAGACTCTCACCAAACTTGCAGCTCTTTAAGCCCCTTTTCGCCCTCCCAGCTCTGGGCTGCTCTGGAAGTGACCAGCCCCCAGTGTAACTAGCCCCTGGAGGTCTGCTTTAAGTTACCTCTGCCCTGCCTGGGCTGCCTCTGAGGAGCTCTGCCATTGCTCAGAATCCCCACAGCGCTGTGTGCTCTGGCCCTGCCACTGGCCTGCCCCCACTGCCAGGGACCGATGGCAGTCTTAGCCAGTGTCCGCGTGGGGGGAACTGTTCCCAGGCTGGCCAAGGGCCGAGGGGCTGTCGCAGGACGGAGCCTCCCCTGCGCTGTTTCTATGCCCTCAGACTTGCCAAAACGTAACCCTGCCTTCTTGCCCATGTGTGAGGGCGAGCCTATGGCGAGCCCTGTGATCTCGATCGTAACTGGGGACGGGGTGGGCGAGGGCTGGCCCAGTCCTGCCTTGTCCAGCACACCCCAGAACCAGCCCGGAGGCCATGCAGGAGATGGCCATGAGCCCGCAGAGTCACACAGAGTCGGGGGAGCTGCAGCAGTACCTGTAGTGTTGATCGTATACCCTGAAAGGAAAGGCACTGAATGTCCATGTGATGGGTGGCCAGCGCTGGGGGCCAGGGCGCATGGCATTATGGTCCCAAGCCAGTAACTTTGGATCAGGCCCTCTGGTGCTGTGGCATGAACTCAGTCGGCTGCCCACTGCTGCTTTCTATGCCCGAGGGGGCTCTGGTGCTAGATCCCCCTTAGGCCCATCCCCTCCCTCGCGGGACTGTGACGCACTGATTGTGTGATGAGCACTAACGGGGTCTGTTTTCAAAGGTCTTCACTGGGATCTTCACCGCGGAGATGGTGCTAAAGCTCATAGCCCTGGATCCCTACGATTACTTCCAGCAGGGGTGGAACATATTTGACAGCATCATTGTCACCCTGAGCTTGGTGGAGCTGGGCCTGGCCAATGTGCAGGGGCTCTCTGTGCTCCGATCCTTCCGCCTGGTAGGTTGCCCTGTGGCTCTGCTGTGCTGAGGGGCTTCATGGCAAGTGCCATACCCAGAGAAGGGTCATTTCTAACTCCCAGGTGGTGACGGTCACTGAATCATGTTGGGTTCAAAGATCAGGCTGATGCAGCCCGGGTTGAATGTTCCGCTTGCCCGGGGGAGCTGTTAGCATGGCAGATGCAAGGAAGGCATGTCTGTACTGTCCATTTTAGATGAAATGGCAACAGCAGCTCCCCTAGTCTTACTGGGGCAGTAGCTAAACTCACAGGGACAATTCCCTCTGAGTTAATATAGGAACAGCTAGGCTGGATCAGAGCCAAGGTCAGTCCAGCCCAATGTCCTGTCTCTGTCAGAGGCCAGCACCAGAAGCTATAGAGAAAGATGCAGGAAGCCGTGCAGAAGGTAGTTAGCTATCTGCCCCATGACAGTTTCCTCCTAACCCGCAATGGTTTGAGGTTGGGTTAGGCATGGAAGCTGGAAGTTTCATACCCCTTCCAAAACACTTATGTTCCTAGTATTTACTACTGTCACTCTGGATACTATCTGAATGCTGTCACTCAGAATCCTGCATCCTCTTAATGTCAGTGATATCTTGTGGCAATGAGTTCCACAGGCCAATCGAGGTTTCTGTTTCCACCTCCTTGCAGCTGAGAGTTTTCAAGCTTGCCAAGTCCTGGCCGACCCTCAACATGCTGATAAAGATCATTGGCAACTCTGTGGGCGCTCTGGGAAACCTCACCCTGGTACTGGCCATCATCGTCTTCATCTTTGCTGTGGTGGGCATGCAGCTGTTTGGGAAGAGCTATAAGGAGTACGTGTGCAAGATCTCTCAGGACTGCACGCTGCCCCGCTGGCACATGTACGACTTCTTCCACGCCTTCCTCATCATCTTCCGCATCCTGTGCGGGGAGTGGATCGAGACCATGTGGGACTGCATGGAGGTGGCTGGCCAGCCCATGTGCCTCATTGTCTTCTTGATGGTCATGGTCATCGGGAACCTCGTGGTGAGTCGCTGGGTCGTGATAGCATCAGTTGATAAAATGGGACCAAAGGGGAGCAATGGATACTGGGTTAGATGGACCTTTGGTCTGACCTACTATGGCTGTTCTTATGTTCCTATGTTCTTATCTGAAATCCATGTAGGGAAGACACCTGAGCCATCACACACTCACTCTCGGCTCCTCACCCGCTAGCTGCCCAGCCATCAGTTAGTATTGCTATTAGGATAAACATATGATGGGATAACATGGTTTTGGTAATTAAATATTCATGGTAAATAGGCCCAATGGCCTGTGATGGGTTTTTAGATGGGGTAAGATCCAAGTTACCCGGAAAAGAATTTTCTGTAGTATCTGGCTGATGAATCTTGCCCATATGCTCAGGGTTTAGCTGATCGCCATATTTGGGGTCGGGAAGGAATTTTCCTCCAGGGCAGATTGGAAGGCCCTGGAGGTTTTTCGCCTTTCCTCTGTAGCATGGGGCACGGGTCACTTGCTGGAGGATTCTCTGCTCCTTGAGGTCTTCAAACTACAATTTGAGGACTTCAATAGCACAGATATAGGTGTGAGGTCTTTTTTAGGAGTGGTGGGTGAAATTCTGTGGCCTGCATTGTGCAGGAGGTCAGACTAGATGATCATAATGGTCCCTTCTGGCCTTAATATCTATGAATCTATGAATCTATATCCAAGGCGCCATCCCTACAGGATCTGTGCCCCACTACAGAAGTACATCAGTCCTGCATTACTTATCTTACAGTAGCCCATACGGGCACCAGCTGAGGTTTAGGCCCTATTGTGCTAGGTGCTGTACAAACGCAGAGCAAGAGACAGTCCCTGCTTTGAAGAATTTACAAACCAAACAAAGAGAGGGAAAGCTAAGGCACAGGGAGACATGACTTGCCAACGTCCCACAGAAAGAACCAGGAATAGAACTTAGGCCTCCATCTCATGCCCACCCCACTGGACCACATCACCCAACTCCTGCCCTGTGCTCCAGGCTGTTTATATCTAGCAGCACTTGATTGGAGCCATGTTGCAGTGTTGACTTGTGGGTGAAGGGGCGTGGCAGTCTCAAGACTGGATGCTTTTCTAGAAGATCTGCTCTAGGAATGTATTCTGGGGCAGTCCCCTGGCCTAGGCTATACAGGGTGATCACAGCAGTCCCTTCTGGCCTTGGAATCTAAGGCAGGAGTTTGGGGCATCATCCCCTGGGAGCAGGACTCTGGCTCAGCTGTTCAGGACCAGCAGCGGATTCCACAGTCCAAGGAATGCCCTGCATCCAACCTCCTCCGGTTTGCCCCGGGCTCTGTTGATCTCCATGTCCACGCTGAACAGAGCTTCAGGGGCGGAACACGGGGAGAGGCTGTGTCTCAGAGCACCTGGATTCAGTCCACATACGGATAGGCAAAAGCGCTGGAAGGGGCCTGGCAGCTTGCTGGCACCCCCCCATCCAACAGCTGGGTGTGTGCACGACAGCTAGGACTGGGGAGTTGTCTAGTCTGTTTTCGTTGGGGGGGGATGGTGGACTTTGGGGCAAGGGTGGCTGGACGTGGACTCTGAGGCAGAAAAGAACATCCCATGAGCAGCTCTTCCCTCCCCGCTTCACCCTCCAGGTGAATTTCCAGGCCTTCCTGCCCCTTTTTGTGACCCCTTGTGATGAGGCAGATGAGTGTGCATCCCCGTGTCTATTTCCACCGAGACCTTTGCCCTGGGTGGTCTCTTTCTGCCCATCTTCACCAAGCTGGGCCTTCCCAGACCATCCCTCTTCTGGTAGGGCACTGAGGTTCCTGGTTCCATCCAGCCTGGATGTTTCATTTTGGCCGTTTCCCAGCCTCTCCTCTAGCAAAAGCAATGGAGGCTCCATCTGCTCTAAACGCTCTCTCAAGCTGCTGGGCACATCATATGGCAGGCGGGTGCTGTGCCTGAAAGCTAGGCCTGGATTGTATCCTCTTGGTGTAGCTCACTTCATCAGTTTCCTGCCACTGCAGCGGCCTTCAGCATTGGCCCACCTCCATCCCTTCTATTCTCTGATTAGGGCACACGCTAGCTTAGTCTCCAGTGGACTGTGATACTTTGGTTTAATTTCGGTTGCTGGGTTCAGCATGCAGATGCTGGGTGGTGTCACTGGCCTGTGATGTATAGGAGGTTAGACTGGATAATCTGGTGGTCCCTTGTGGCCGTAAACTCTGTGATATCCCTGTGACCCAAGGTGCTTAGGGTAGCCCACACTGGAAAGGCCAAGGCCAAGGCAGGCTGCAAAAAAGGAGAGCTCATTCCCCCAAAACTGGTGGTTAACACTGTAGTTAAATTCACCAACCAGTCACAGGCAGTGCCCCTGATCCCCCACACTGGGTATCAAAAAATCACACAGCCCCCTTTATTACATTCAAGTCTCTGGCTCACAATCAGCAAATTGGTTTGGATCTTACCCAAACTACCACGCTGCCCGCCAAGCCTTTAGTATCTAAAACTAAAGGTTTTATTATAAAAGAAAAGAATGAGAAGAGAGTTGTTAAATAGTCAAGCAATCAGATACATACATATGACTTCAGAGTCCACATATCAGGTTCTTAGCAGCATTGGTGAGTTTGCTGGCTTGTAAAGTCCCTCTGGAACATATCCACAGCTTGGATAGGTCTGTCAGTCCTTCATTCAAAGCTTCAGTTTGCAGAGAAGTTACTCCAGAGCTAAGAAGCAGGATTGAAGATGAAATGGAGGTGATGCAACTGCCTTTTTATATCCTTTGCCAATTGTCATGTGGCTTGTGCATCCTTTGTCCCAAACACAAGCTCAGCACATGGCATGGAAGAGCACATGCAGTCATGGGCATGATTCTGACTCATAGGCATAGCCCCTGGCTTCTCTCAATGGGTTCATTGTACAGCTGATTTCCCCTGATGGGCTATCAAACAGGCTGGATACTGCTGATGCCAATCTGTCTGTGGGTGCCACCCAGCTGCTCAGCACAAGTTTGAGATATCAATATACCACACATATTTATAACTCATGGTACAGAGATGATACGTGCATATAGGATCATAGAATCATAGAAGATTAGGGTTGGAAGAGGCCTCAGGAGGTCATCTAGTCCAACCCCCTGCTCAAAGCAGGACCAACCCCAACTAAATCATCCCAGGCAGGGCTTTATCAAGCTGGGCCTTAAAAACCTCTAAGGATGGAGATTCCACCACCTTTCTATGGAACCCATTCCAGTGCTTCAGCACCCTCACAGGGAAAGAGTTTTTCCTAATATCCAACCTAAACCTCCCCAACTTCAACTTGAGATCATTGTTTCTTGTTCTGTCATTTGCCACCACTGAGAATAGCCGAGCTCCATTCTCTTTGGAACCCCCCTTCAGGTAGTTGAAGGCTGCTATCAAATCCCCCCTCACTCTTCTCTTCTGCAGCCTAAATAAGCCCAATTCCCTTAGCCTCATCTTGTAAGTCATGTCCCCCAGTCCCATAATAATTTTCGTTGCCCTCCACTGGACTCTCTCCAGTTCGTCCACATCTTTTCTGTAGTGGGGGGCCCAAAACTGGACGCAATACTCCAGATGTGGCCTCACAGTGCCAAACAGAGGAGAATAATCACTTCCCTCGATCTGCTAGCAATGCTCCTATTAATGCAGGTTATGCCGTTAGCCTTCTTGGCAACAAGGGCACACTGTTGACTCATATCCAGCTTCTCATCCACTGTAATCCCCAGGACCTTTTCTGCAGGACTGACACTTAGCCAGTCAGTCCCTAGTCTGAAGCAGTGCAGACTGATTCTTCCATCCTAAGTGCAGGACTCTGCACTTGAACTTGTTGAACCTCATCAGATTTCTTTTGGCCCAATCCTCCAATTTGTCTAGGTCACTCTAAACCCTATCCATACTTTCAGCATATCTACTTCTCCCCCCCAGTTTAGTGTCATCTGGGAACTTGCTGAGGGTGCAATTCATCCTATCATCCAGATCATTAATGAAGATCTTGAACAAAACCACCCCCAGGACCAACTCCTGGGGAACTCCACTTGATACTGGCTGCCAACTAGATATCGAGCCATTGATCACTACCGATTGAGCTTGACGATCTAGCCAGCTTTCTATCTATCTTATAATCCATTCATCCAATCCATACTTTTTTAACTTGCTGGCAAGAATACTGTGGGAGACCGTATCAAAAGCTTTTCTGAAGTCAAGATATATCATGTCCACAATTTTCCCCATATCCACAGAGACAGTTATCTCATCATAGAAGGCAATCAGGTTAGTCAGGCATGACTTGTCCTTAGTTAATCCATGTTGACTGTTCCTGATCACCTTCCTCTCCTCCAAGTGCTTCAAAATGGATTCCTTGAGGACCTGCTCCATGATTTTTCCAGGGACTGAGGTGAGGCTGACCGGTCTGTAGTTCCCTGGATTATCCTTCTTCTCTTTTTTAATGATGGGCACTATATTTGCTTTTTTCAATCGTCCAGGAAGTCCCCCGATAGCCACAAGTTTTCAACGCTAGTGGCCAATGACTCTGCAATCACATCCGCCAACTCCTTTAGCACTCTCGGATGCAGCACATTCGGCCCCATGGACTTGTGCTCATCCAGCTTTTCTAAATAGTCCCGAACCACTTCTTTCTCCACAGAGGGCTGGTCACCTCCTCCCCATGGTGTGCTGCCCAGTGCAGCAGTCTGGGAGCTGGCCTTGTCTGTGAAGACCGAGGCAAAAAAAGCATTGAGTACTTCAGCTTTTTCCACATCATCTGTCACTAGGTTGCCTCCCCCATTCAGTAAGGGTCCCACACTTTCCCTGACCACCTTCTTGTTGCTAACATACCTGTAGAAACCCTTCTTGTTACCCTTCACATCCCTTGCTAGCTGCAACTCCGGTTGTGCTTTGGCCTTCCTGATTACACCCCTGCATGCTTGAGCAATATTTTTATACTCCTCCCTAGTCATCTGTCCAAGTTTCCTCTTCTTGTAAGCTTCCTTTTTCTGTTTAAGCTCACAGAAGATTTCACTGTTAAGC